AAGGACAATTTTGATATCAAGAGGTTAGACTTTGGTTAGATTTATTTAACTTGTATATGAAAAATACGTTTTATAAAAATTTAATATGTGTCTAGTACTATAATTTTTTCTGTCCTAATTCCCCTATCGATATACTAAATTCTTTGGTTAGACTTTGGTTAGATTTAATGAAATGATATGCATTTTAGTTTGCTAACATGTCAGAGAAGGGATTAGGATATTCATTACATTCATATCCTTTACCACTTCTCTTTGTTTTTTAATAGCAACCAGAGTAGCATAAAATAAATCTAACCAAATTATGTTGAAAATGTGGTCTAAAACATAAAATGCATGTCATTCGAGTGAGGTCTAAAACAAAAATCCCACGTCATAGTTAGACTTATAAATCTAACTCAAAATTGATCATGGATTTGAGCTTCTAGCAGACACAACACACTATTGTCAATATTGAGGCTTTTGTCCCAAAACCCCCAAATTTCCAATGTGTCTAGTATCAAATCCAAAATGAAATCTACAAAAGAGAATTTATTAAGATCTCAAACAGAGATGTCTAACAAGAGTTTGAGTTCTGTTAATTCACAGAATTTAGCTTGGAAATTGTCACTGTTTTGTTTTTAGCTATATTAGTAATTTTATTAACCAAAGTATTTATAAAACTATATTTGCATATATTTATGTCTACAGAATTTTTTGAACATATGAACATATGTAATTGGTTTTTTTGGGTAAAGTTGTATCATACGTAAGTAGCATTACTATAAACAAAAGAAAATATGTCCTTTAATTTTTTCAAGATAAGAAGTTTATTGTTGAGTAATTTCATATTATATATTCTTAATTTGTTTTTGCTGTTACTTGTATGCTGTCAATCTATAGTAGACATGATAGTAGTTTGTCATGTAAATTTTTAACAAATTTTTTGACTCTTAAATTCAGAAATTGACACTATATTTCTATTTAACAACCTCCAATTTGTGAAATGTTTAATATAACAAAGTTTTTTAATAAAATCTTGTAAAGGTTCTTTAATAATTTCAGTTTTTCAACAACCTATGATATTAATTAAAGATAATGACTATAGGTTTGGTATACAAATTGGACAAGTGTGTCTTTCTCCAGTAAGGCAGTTTACAATATCATTAAGTTCAATATTTGGATAAGCTTTTATCTTGAACAACTCAAAGTTAATTTCTTACATTGTTACTAGCTCATTAATAGCTTTAAGCAAGATCTAATTTTTAAGTTTTCTATGTACTTTGTTTAGATTTTTTGAAGTGTTTGTAATTGTGTCTATGGCTGCTTGACTATCTGTATAAATCTTGAAATTGACTTATCTAGGTGTAGCATAAACTGCAGTTAAAATGGTCATAATTTCTGTTCAAATAGAGAATAAGAAATTGATCACCTGCTTATCAAAAGTAAGTTGTATTCCTTGGTTCCCAGTGGCAACCTGGATTCAAAATAATTTGACTTACAATGATAGCCTATTTTGCATACAAGTATAATTTGTAATTAATAAATACAAGTGTTAATATAAGAAATTTACTATTGTTTGACTATTGATATTATATAAGTATTTTTTGTGATTATTTTAAAAATCATTTATTAGGAGATTTATTAATACCAGAAGAATTAGTAATAAAGAAATATAAATTATGTCATTTATTTCTTGGTCCAAGGCATGTTTTAATTATTTGAATACAATAATATTGAAAAGGTAATAAATTTATAATAATATTTGTTAGTAATATAAAAGGTAAAATTTTTATTAAGTTAATTTACATTTTAATACTTTTTTGTATATCTTCAGATATAATATGTTGTAGTGTTGAAAACAATTTTTCAATTAATTAATTAAATCGCTTAATCAAAGTAATTGTTTTTAAATAGTCTTTTTATTTTGTCTAATAATTTTTCAAAAAATTTAGTAATATAATAATCACAATAAATAATATAATTTTCAATTAAATTATTTTCAGAACAAGCTAAAACTATTAAAAGGAGAATCTAGTGTTCATTATATTGAAAATTGACTGTATTATTTAAAATCTTTCAGGTTACCTAATACTAATGTTTAAACTATAATCTATATATTTAAATCATATAATAATCAGATAACTATATAACTTGCACACAGGTGTCAGTCATAAAAAACTCTCAATACTAAATTTAATTAATATATTGTGTAATAATAAAATACCAATTTTAACTATAAATCAATTGTTAGCAAAGTGATTAGTTATTAATAAGAATAATGTTAAATTAAAAAATCTCACTTAATCCAATAATCATGTGATTTTGTGTTGGCACCAATCATTGTGATTATTACAAAATTCTTTCAAAATGAAATTCTTATTATTATCTATTATTAACTTGTTAACTTGATTTTGTTATTTTATCTTTTATTCAAAAAAATATTAGAAAACTCATCATTTAGTTAATTATTTAACTGACCTGATTTTCAGGGGTATTTTTACCTCCTCCTCTACCTAATCCTTTTCCTTATTAGATTTAGAATTAGGATTAGATTGGGATTAGAATTGAAATTAGAATTAGAATTAGAATTTAGAATTAGAAATTAGAAACAAAAAAATGAAGGTCGAATTCACCAAATAAGTTGATGTTTTGGGAAAAAAAGGAAATAATTCACGCACAATTAAAAAAAATTAGGTTGTACCCATCTTTTAAAATCATATTAGGTTAATTAAAATTTTCAAATTTAAGAAATTGACTATTTGATTAAAAAAATAGGTATATATATAATTTATAACTGGAAATATTTTAAAATTTCATTTACAATCATAATATCTCAAGTTATCAAGATAGGCAGAAAAATAAATTAAAAAACAATAAATTTGAAAAAAGAACAATTTTATTTATTTTTAACTCTAAATGTAAATTTTTTAATTATTGATATAAAACGTGATTCTTAAACAATTAAGCTATTACAGTATATATAAAAACTTTATAATGAATCTTCATCTTCCATTATTAAATTTGAATAAAATTTAGTACTTTCTAATAATTCCTTAGAATATCTATCACCAAAAGAAATTTTCAAAGCAAAATGAGGTAAAGTGACTTGAGGAATGTTTCTATTAAAATAATGACAATCCCAAACCAATCCTGGTATTAATTTCTTAAAATAAATCGCAATATCTTTGGCAAAAGATTTTAATACTCTGTATCCCATCTTTTTAAATGTTTTAAAATTTTCCAAACATAAAATGTTTTTATCATTAGAGACATCTTCATTATCAAGAAATGCTTTAAAAGAAATAGTATCCTCATACAAATAAATCTTGACATCACCATGCCATTCTTGTAGAGCAGCATCAACAAATGACTCCAATACATCCACAAATATATCAATCACTTCAGCTGGACGTTTTTTAAATTTCAATTTTTTACAATCGACATCAATATCATATGGAATACGAAAATATCCGATTTCTTCATGTAATTCATTACGTGTGACATTGATTGAATTTATCGTTGTAGGTTCTTCCCATAGAATTTTTCCAGTACGATAGAATTCTATTATGAAACGAAATGCATATCCATTACGATCAAAGAAGTATTCATTACTACCTTCGGTTGGATGAAGTAATTCTACATTACGTTCTTGAAACATTGCACCAAGCATTGTGTTTGGATAAGCTGTTAACGTTGAGCGATAAGTTTCGTACTAAATATATTATTTTGTTGTTATTTTATTTTAATGATGTTGTTACGTTAATATTATTATTTATATATATACATATTATTTATATTTAACTGTTAATATCATATTTGTATTTGAGATAATGTTTAAATAATAAAATAAATAGAGAATATTTACCTTAATTCCGCCAACATTCAAAATCACGCGTTGTTCTTTTTGTGCTGACATTGTTAAATGTATTTTTTTTTTTATAAAATAAATTTTAACCCAATTATAATAATAAAAATCACATGTTACCCACACTAAAATATTGAAAATACTAAATAGTATAATATATATTGTTTACTAAATTAAGAATAGTAAATGAGAAGGTTTTTTTTTTGAAAAGGGAATGCGAACAATTATCAAATAATTCGATCTTTATATAAGTATTTCGGAAACCTAATTATAGTATGAACAATTTTTTTTTTTGATGTTATACAATTTGTTCAAGTCTTTGTATTCCCACATATGTCCGCGAAGCGCAGTGCTCCCCCACTTTGTGTAAATTGACGAAATTTTAAATTAAATTAAATTAAACGATAAACAATTAGTCATCACATAATTATTGATTATTTAGATGCCTGAGAATGAATTTTTACCTTATTGGGAATACAGATTTATTGGTCACATGATATTGAAAAATACCTTTTCTAAAAAGTCTTTAATTATATTATCTACAGTTGAATTCTAGTTGAATTCTTTCTTACTTTAATCAAAATCAAAAGCTTTAGAAATTATTATTTTAAAATGTCTTTAAATTTTCCACGATTTTTTCCAAAATCAACATACCCAAAGTCGAAATTCACTTATACAAAGAATAAAAAGTACAATAAATTTAATAATAATATTGCAGATAATCAAGAATCTCACAACGAATTATATCTATATTTTTCTAGAAAAATCAATAATAAATTTACATTGACACCACCCACCTCCGATACAAATAATATTAATCGAACGAATCAAAATCAAGGTGAAAGTTCTCAAAGTAGCCAAGAAGAAGAAGAAGGTTCGCAATTAATCTTAATTGGCCATATTATTTCACAAAATGAATTAGCTTCCGTTACATTATCACAGAATATGAAATCTGATATTTTTGATGAGTTTTTAGAATATGGTGTAAAAGACAAGTCTCAATTTTATAATAGCCTCAATAAGAGAAAGAATAACAACAATAATAACAATAATGACAAGAGCAACAAGAAGAAAAAGATCAAATTAATCAGAACGAGGAATAATAAAAATGACTTTGATGTTAAGAAACACCAACAGGAAAATGAAAAAGTAAATGATAGACGCGATAATGAAAGAAAGCGATCACCTAACTTTGAAGGTGAAATGTCAATAATAAAAGATGCAGAAGGGATGCGTAAAGAAATTAAGAAACGTGCATTCGTTGACAAATCAAATACAAAGCCACGAATTGCCAACCTTTCGATGCAAAAACGTGAATCATTAGGAATTAGATCTAAACTTGCACCTTCCATTCATGAGAAAAATCATAAGTATGAAATTGTAGAATGTCAAAGTATCGGAAGTATCACGAGAAAAGAAAAACATGAAAAACAGGCAGAAGTTAAAAAAAAAGATAATTTTAAGGTTTTTCAAGATGACTCCAGGACGGGAAATAATAATGATATTCATAATGACAGTCGTGGTAGTGATATTATGGATATTATGGATATTAGTAATTCGGAAATTAGTAAGGTATTTAAAATTCCTTAAATTATATTGTTTTTTATTACTGATTTTTTTTATCTACATATCTTTCTTTCATATTATATATTATGAAGTTGCAACTTCAAGAAGAAGAGGAATGCGATATCGAAGAAGAAAATATCAATATTGATTTAAAAGATTTGCATGATAAACCATTCATGACCTCAACGCCTACTGACGATTATGATACTAACGTCCAAACCCGACAGTTTTCTTCAGAATTTATATACTACATACCAGATGAAGAAGAATATATTTCAGAAGGAAATGTAAGTAGTTGTAATTTGCCTACGATTTTTAAAGGATGTGAAGATAATGAAAAAGAAAAGGGTGAAGCAAAAACTGAAGCAAAAAACGAAGATGAAGTAAAAGATGTTGATGGACATGAAATTGTACACAGTAATCAAAAAAAAATTGCAAAAGATGATAATAACATTCAAGAAAAAGAAATCATTATACAAAAAAACGAAACTCATCCAGATCCTCTTACAATTCCATGGCAATCTTTAATATATCTACCACAAAATAAATCCTCGTCAAAAATAATGGAACGAGATATAAGTAATGGTAAAAAAGGGAACAATAATTATAAAGTAGTAAAAAGGAATTTGATACGAACTTCATTCGAATTAGATGAATTGGCAGCGCTTTATTATAGAGATGCCATATAAAATGACACGAGATATAATATTTATTTATTTACTTTTATGTCATTATATTTATTATTATCATTATTATCAACATAATTTATTTAATTTATTCAAATTCGTACTTTGCATTGCTATATTATTATAAATAAAATATTTCATTTTTTCATTACTCCGTGAATTCGATTTTTATTTGGCTTTCTTTAATTCGGTAAAAATGTATATATAGTAATTAAAAACACCTGACTCTCACCGTAGATCACTAATTTGTACTAATTCATCACAACAAAAAAAATATAAAAAAAATAAAAAATGGCAACTTTTAAATTTTGTTCTCAATGGTAATATCTATTTATTACCAATTCCATTAAACGAAATATTTTTATTTTAAAAATTTTTTTAACTTTCAAATACAAAATCTAATAGTGGTAACTTATTATACCCAAGAGAAGACAAGGAAAGTCACCTACTTTTGTATGCTTGCCGTAACTGTATCTATCAAGAGGATACCACGAATTACTGTGTTTACAGAAATGAACTTCAAAGTACTGCTGCTAGGTTAGGATTTAGATAATCTCTGATTAGATTGGTTAGGTTTTGATCAAGAAGTTTTGATCTAACCGATCCAATTAAATTTTGGATTCATTGTGACAATTGAATATCAAAAATTTCTTTGTGATTTGAATTAAAAATAAAATTCAACTCAGAAGAGTATTGGTTGTATTTCATTTTAATTCTTGATATTCAATTCTGATTATTTAATTAAAAAAAAAAAAGTGAAAGAACAACCAGCTTGATTAAAGATATAGCAGCTGATCCAACTTTGGTAATTACATTAAATCAACATTTATCCAGTAATCATAATCATAATATCAACTATATTAATTATATTTAATTATTTTAATTATATTTAATTATATTAATTATATTTAATTATATTAATTATATTTAATTATATTAATTATATTTAATTATATTAATTATATTTAATTATGTTAATTATAGCCTCGCGAAGAAAAAGCATGCAGTCAATGTGGGTATAACGTAGCGGTATACTTTGAGACTCAAACCCGTCGTGCAGATGCTAAAATGACATTATACTACGCTTGTGGGAATGTTCATTGTGGGTATCGTTGGACTGATTACGAACAAAATCCCGACAATAGTGCAGATCAAAATGAGAATAAAGAAAATGGAGAGAATCAGAACGATGAATCAGAAATGTTTAATCAAAGTCAAGATACTATTAATTATTCAGGTAATTATCTTTGTAATTATTATTGTCTGGGTAATATTGTTTTAGTCAATTATCTGTTATAGATAGAAATTATAGATAAATTATAGACAAATTAATAATATTTTATTCTATTTATTATCATATTTATTATATTTATCATGTTTTATTATATTTATTATATTTAGAACCCTCATATCCTATGACCAATATTGAACCAGAAATTGAAAATACGTTGGCTCCTCCCAGACAAGAATATCATGATGAAGATGATTGGTGATATTATTCGTAAGATAAATTAAATTTTTGCAATTAATGTCTTTTATTTTTTTTTTTTTATTCCAAAGCTCCAGCAGATTTTAATTTAGAAATTAGATCATCCACAGAATCTACTCTTGTGCCAGATTGTCTAGTTGACGGTTCGGTTACAGAAATTATTTCCAACCTTGGAGTAACATCTATATTAAAATCTTGAAGGGAAAATTTAGTCAAAGGCTTTTTTCTGGCTTTCATAATATTTGGGAGAGTGACAAATTTAGGTTCATTTAACCTAAATAATAAATTATTATTATTAGGAAAAATATAAATAATTTGAATAATTTGAATAAATATAGAACAAAAAAAAGATATAAATATTTATAATTGAAAGAACTCTTACCGTAAATCTGTAGTTACGATAGCCGGTAATTTACTTCTTATAGTTTCTAAGCCTCCATCCACTTCACGTGTTACCGTAATATTATCTTCATTGATGTCAACTTTAGATGCAAATGTGGCCTTCAAATAAAAATTATTTGTTATGTATTTATTATTTATTATTATTATTATTATTATTATTATTATTATTGTTATTATTATTGTTATTATTATTATTATTACCTGAGGCCAATTTAACAAACCAGCCAACATTTGACCAGTCTGATTTGAATCATCATCAATGGCTTGTTTACCTAAAATAACCAAATTTGGATTTTCCTTCTCTATAATAGCCTTAAATATTTTAGCCACATTTAATGGTTCTAATGTTTGATCTTCTGAAGTTTCAACATGTATAGCTCGATCGGCACCCATAGCCAAAGCTGTTCTTAATTGTTCTTGACTTTTGGATGGTCCACATGTTAATGCGATAATCTCGGATACTTTATCCTTACCCAAAACTTCTCTCAAATTAATGGCTTCTTGAACACCAATTTCATCAAATGGGTTGAGTGAATGTTTAATATTGGCTGTTTCTACTGCTGTCCTTGCTGAATTAACTCGAATTTTTACTGCGAAATCTATAACTCTTTTACATCCTTAATATATTAAAATTATTAAATTATGATAATACGAGAAAGGTAAAGGTGAAAGATATTAAATTATAAGTTAAATTTTTCGATTTTTAAAATACTTACCAACAAGAATTTTTAAAACTGTCATTTTTCAAATTATTTCCTTATAAATAATTCCTAATAGTATTCTGTTTATGACGATACTTCATGTATAAATATTTTAAACAAACTCGCTACGCGAGTGCAAAAATAAAATAAAAGAGAGGTGTGATTAAAAATTAAATCTAAAAATCCGGCCAATCATATCATTTGATAATATAAATTTTTTAAATCTAAATAATTTTCGACTATTTTATTTTTATTTTTTATAAATATCTAAATGGCCATTATCACATCAAGCCTCCATGGCGCAACCGGCTAGCGCGTTCGGCTGTTAACCGAAAGGATCCTGGTTCGAATCCAGGTGGAGGCGAAAGATGATCACATCTGGTCCTTTCCTTTTTAATTTTTTTATTTTTTATAACAAATCTTTTGTATTACGGAGATGATATGCAAATCTTTTTCATCTGTACAATTTAATTACCTTTCATAAAACATCTTTTATACCTTTCATCTCACTGAACTTATTTCATAATGATTGAGCTGTAGTTAAAGAATTTAATTAAGATATAAATTTGCAATTTCACAATAATTGTATTAAAAAATTTTGAATATTCAGAATTTCCAGGTTTATCAAATGATAATTTTTAATGAAGTTAGTTTAAACAGAGGTTTTGTTAATATAAATTATAAAAATTAAAGTATAAACTTTAAATGGATATAATTGTAAAAAAAATAATTATAATTATCAGATATAATATCATATAATAATTTGACAGATATAATTAATTTATAAAATCTACTAATATAATTAAGTTAATATAAATTAAATTAAAAATTAATTTTACAAATTGTAAATTTTTGAATTGTAAATTTGCAATAATTATAATATAGATAATAAGTACATAATTTCTAATTCATAATTATAAATACTATCTTTAATTTAAAAATTTAAAGAAATTAAAAAATAACAAATGAACCAAGTAGATTTATAAAAGAATTTTAATTAAAAATTAATTAATTTTTTGATCATTATAGTCAAAAATCAGACTTACTTCAAATTCTACTGACTAAATAAAAAAAATAGAAAGATTTTATTATAAATAGAATCAGTTTTATTAAGTATAAGCAGTTAATTTATAAATAAAAATTTAATTGATTTTGTATTTTTTTTTTATTTATAAATTATTCAAATATCTTTATTTAGTTTATATCTTAAATCATTTTTTCAAATTTTTAAACCATTTTTAAATTTCTAGGTTATTCCTAAATTCCATTTTTACTAAACTCTTTCTAAATTCTTAAATTTTTCTTAAACCTCTTAAAATATTTTTAAATTGTTAAATTTTTAATATACATTAAAAAAATCAAAATTTTTAACACATATAATTAAAATAAGACTATAGCATGTTTTTATTTATTTATAATTGTTATTATACTTATCAAAAAATTAGTTGTTTTTTTTTTATTCAACTTGTATAACCTTTTTAAACTTTTAATGCAAAAAATATTTCAATTGGAATAGATATAATTTTTTAATACAGTGAATTTTCTATAAATGCACTTCCCAAGAAATCAACATTAGAATACATTTATAGAGAAAAATTTTATAAGTATTATTAATAGATGGAACTGGAATATAGGATGCATTTATAGAGGGTGCACCTTATAGATGGTGCATTTATAAAGGGTTCACTGTACATATTATTTGAAAAAACAAAGTTTTATATTACACAAAAGGTAATTTTCTATAAATAATATATTATATAAAAACAATATTATTGATTAATTATTTTTCAAAAATAACATTAACAACAATAATAAACAATAATACAATTGATTTTTGTTGTAAAATTACAAGTTTCTAATTTTAGTTTAGAATAGTTTTAAATAATTTCAGAAACACAAATAAGTTTTGAATTAGATTTTGACTTTTAGAAATTTTAAAATAGTTCAGAATTTTGTCAAGTTCTAAAGAGTTAAGTTATGGTAGTACACATTTGAACATGCCTATTTGCAAACTATTTTGTTTATTTGTTGCCTATTTATTCACAAATAATTCACTTCCTATTTGCAAATATTTCTTGTTATACTTGTTAAAAAAAATTGCAAATTTTTAATTCTGTCTATTTGCAAATATTTCCATCTGTTTGTAAATGATTTACAAATTATCCTGCCTGTTGTGAATATGAATTATCTATCCATTCAACCTATGGAAACACATTGTATATATTAAATATACCTGTTACAATTCTTGTAATCAATATTTTCATATGGCATAATTAATTACAATCAAATTGCAACTTTATTCATTTTCTTTTTTGAATTATGACAGGTATCATTAGCATATATAACAAATTGTTTTGAAAAGCATAAAAACATATTACACATACTGTACATCCAATTGTTTGTGAAAGGATTATTAATTATCTATTTAACATTTAATTTTAGATAATTTTAAATACATTATATTTTTAAATATTATAACTTATTGTAAATAATATTGTATAATTATGCAAGACTGCAAAGGTTTAATTAAAAACATTAAAAATATTTACAAAATTTTATATAATGATACAAGTACCAAAATGTTAAGTTTCTAATTTTTCTTCACTTTCTAAATCTTCTTTTTCTAACAAATAATCAATATCTCCAACTTGCCAATTCCAATTCATTACTGAATCCTCTTCTTCATTACCAGCCTCATTAGAAGTAATTTTTTTAAAAATTTTATTAGATGGTTCAAAATAAGGACTTTCAAATCTAACAATTAAAGGTCTTCTAACTTGATCATAAATTAATTGTTGATTTTCCGAAGATTTCAATGAATAAATAATATCTGCATCAAAATTTACATCCACTTTAAAACCAATACCGTCAGAAAATGCTTTGGATACTTTTGCTTTACGTTCAGCATATGATTCTTTTTCATCCCCTCGTTGAATACCTATTCTAATTGTCATCCAATGAATTATAAGATAATTTCTTTGGATTTCTTTATCATCACTAAATCTTTTTTGAGTTGCTCTTTGAGATCCTACATTCACCCAAATATCATGAATTTTAGAATTGTAAATTTTAGATATTTCAATTGTTATGGATGATTTTTCGGATGATATTTTTTCAAGTTCAGTGACAAAACGATCATATAGTCTTGGAGTGAACATTTGTTTCAACGCTTCAAGATCTGAGGGAGTTGATAATGCTGTGCATACTTGACGTATGGCATATGAAGCTAAATTTTCCAGTTTATTTCGAAATATAATTTAGTTTTAATTTTAGTTTAATCGAATAATTGAGAAAAATTGGTGTTGAATAGTAGCTCAAATATATTTTATATCCTTGAACTACAAATATACCAACTAAATATATATAAATATATAAATATATATATATATATAAAAGATTATACATACAAATTACTCACCTCCCGCCAAAAATTCGTCAGGAAAATATGAAGCGGAAGTAGAACCTTTTAACATTTTCGTAGTTACCCACATACTAATTTTATGTTGCAAGAAAACCGGTAAAAGTGACAAAATTTGTGATGTTATACTTTTCCTACTGTTTGAAATTAAGTACGGATAATTTATTATTCGTGGTAATTGGTTATCATAAAGCCAAGCTATCATTAAAAAAAAAATAAACCAATAATTTTAACAACAGAATAAACATAAAGAATTTTTTTAAAAAAAAATATACACACGGAATGTTATTGAATCACATGTCTTCTGAGGAGGAGGTAACGATTCAACAGGAGTACGGATCCCGGGAGGTTCTGGTGGTGGTGTTGGCGAAGGGTCTGATGGTGGTCCTGGTGGTGATTGTAGCGAAGAATAAATTCTCGTCCCAATTGGTGATCTATTAATAATAAATTTTGGTAAATTTATAGTTCCTTTCGATTTGTGTGAGAATTCACGTTTCATGTAAAGCAAACGTGTGTTAAAAAAACATATTGCGTATTTAATTTTACGCATTTTGTTTTTGTTCGAACAATTGATTATCAAAAATCTAATTTATGTGTATGGAAAAAATTTTCTTTTTTGTCTGTTTTGGTAAGATTTTTAAAATTTCCTGATAAAGCAAAATATGAAAAAATTATCACCTAATGAATAAAATAACACTTATCCTGTTATTAGTTTTGTTTAGTTAGTTTATTATCAGTTATTCACCTGGAGCTAAACACACTTTCTTTTTAGAAAAGCTTTTCCAACCAGGTGATAATAATGTCTACAAAAAAATTATATAGGTGTCAAAATATTACAGAATATTTTACCTTTTGTAGGTTCACAATTTATGTATATAATAAATTCACAGATATAAATTAAATAATACTTTAAGATAAAATAACTTAATCAATATTTATAAAAAAATTAACAAATTAATAAGATTGAGATTATACATGTTCCCAAAATTGATTTCTGATTTTTGGGATATTGAAATTTACTCAGAATCTATTCTATATATAAAGTAAAAAAAATACCTAGTTAAGTGTATCTTTAATCAAAGAATTTATTTGGGTAGTCAAAAAATTTTGGATTTTAAGTAAAATAATTTTGTCTTCTATGAAAAACTATTTTGATTTTTTTTTTCAAAATTGTAATTTCAGGGTCCAAGTAATTTTGTGTGTGAGATATCATATTTAAATTTATAAGAAAATTCAAAACAATACATAGGAACAAAGATAATAATATTGATAATTATAGAAATAGTAGTGATAATAATAATAATACTAATAATAAATTTAATAATAATAATAATATTATTATTAATAGTAATAGATTTAATATAATTAAAAAATTGGATTAATAAGAAACTAAGTTGATCGGATTTTAGATTTGTAATTATAATCTTAAGAGACCTTTAGATATGAATAAATCCTGTATATAGATTTTGAGCTGGTGATACCTGTTATAATTCAATAATCAATTATGATATATAATATAATTAATTAAGACATATGACACAATTAGTTGTAACCAGTTGTAACTCTTATAAATAATTACAACAGGTATCTTTATTTGAAACTCTTGTAGGCTAAGGTGCAAAGGTATTTATCTAGTATTTAGATAGTTCTAAATTACTTTTAGAAATGTTAGACAGGTGAACAGTTAGTTAAAATTAGTACTATAGTTCTATTTTAATTTCAATTTTTTGTTTATATAAACAAAAAATAACTTAGATTAGACTATAATAGCTTCAGGTGTAATATATACTTGCATGCAAAATTATTTTGGAATCTTGAAATTGCAATTTCAGAAAAAAAAAAAGTCAAAATAGTTTTTCATAAAAGACAAAATTATTTTACTTAAAACCTGAAATTTTTTAACTATCCAGATAAATTTCTTGATTAAAAATACACTTAACTAGATATTTTTTTTTACTTTCATATATAAAATAGATTCTGAGTAAATATCAAAAAAAATAAAATGCTCCAAAAATTAGAAATCAATTTTGAGAATGTGTATAGTATGATATGTATTTTGTTTTTTACAATATGCTCAAGTGACATACATTTTACTTTTTGATACATACCTGAGATATTTATAGTTTACACATTGTTACTAGTCAACCTTTTGAACTAATTTTATTTTCAAAAGGCAATTTACAACTAGTAACTTGTAAATAGTTATTTTAGTTTATGAATTGAAGAAGATAATAGAAGAAGAATAAAAGAATATTTTAAGTTAAATATTATAACTAATTAAAGGACTTAAGAATTTATAATCACAGGAATTAAATTAATGGTTAATTAAAGGTCAATTTAAGAATTTAAGGCAAAGAGTTAAATGTATTGTCAATAGTTTATACAATACTAATAAAAATTTATAGATTAGAGTTTATATTCGAAGAATATAAATTAGTAAAAGAATAACAGAGTTTTAATATAAAAAATATAAGTTTATTACAAAGAAAATCAATAATCCAGTTACTTTAGGATTATAAAAATATTAATTCAATAGAATTAATTACAGTTGAGATTACTTCCTAAATTTCACTATTTAGAATTATTCAAATCTTATTTGAAAACTATCTAAATTTGCCTTGAGATGAAAAGAAACTTACCTTTTTATAATATTTGATTTGACCAGTAGTAATTGTGTCAATCAGTTGGCTATTAAGTTGGTCAATCAGTTGACTATCAGTAAATTGACTAGTAACTGGACCACTATGATCTACATTATTGATTTACATAATTCGTATTACACTAATAAATAAATAAATGCTAATTATAACTAATAATTAAAATATACTAAATAATTATACTAATAAAATAAATACAACTAAGAAATAAAATAAGATAATAATAAATTATTAAAGGGGAAAAAACTCATGATAATAATGTCAAGTATTATATAGGTTACATTTGTATTAGTGCTTGAGATCTACTGAAATATGTATTAGTGTAATGTGTATTTTGCTTTTTACAATATGTACAAATGACATATATTTTGTTTTTTTTAATATACACCTGAGATATTTATAATCTATATGTTAAGTGTTATATAGGTTACATTTGTATCATCACCTAAAATCTACTAAGATATATAGTATTAAAATAGTTATACTTGAAAAGTTCTAATGCAAAATATAGTGAAGTATCTATTTTCATCTGGAAGATTTTTAGAATAACAAAAAATATATCAAACTAGATAGAAATAGATACTTTACTATGTTTTGCATTAGGGCTTTTCAGATGAAACTATTTTAATACTATGTGTTTCAGTAGATCTCAAGTAATAATATAAATATAACTTATATAGCACTCAACTTGTAAATTATAAATATTTCAAGTATGTTAAAAAAACAAAATGTATGTCACTTGAATATGTCATAAAAAGTAAAATACATGTCATACTAATATATATCTCAGTAGATCTCAGGTGACAATATAAATGCAACCTATATAGTACTTGACTTGTAAACTATAAACATCTCAGATATATATTAAAAATATGTCATTCGAGCATGTTGTAAAAAATAAAATAGATATCATATCTGAGATTATTATAGTGTCGTACTTTCTTATGAACAAGAATCTGAAGGGTAACAAATATTCTCAAACAAATATCTTGAACTAATTAAATAATTCACTACAATTTCATGAGGATTACTAAGATCAACTTGACTTAAATTATTTATCAAAAACTTTTAAGAGAATATTACAAGATAAGTTCTTTATTGTGAAGGGGTTTTAATATATCAAACTAACTTGTTTGCTTAATAAGATATAGTTAAAGATTAATTATACAAGATTTATCCAGAATTTATAGAAGATTACATAACAAATTAATAATATAAAGAATTAATAGGGATATTTAATAGGCTATAACTTTATTAATAAATATAATGATAAAATACAAAATAAAAGTAGAAATCATAAATTAAGGATATTAAATAAAGACTATTGAAGAAAACTTCAGATCTATTCAAATCTTTTATTTGAATCTTAATTCTTGTCTTTCTCTCTAAGGTCAGAAAAGACTTATATTTATATCTCTTTAATTTACTGCACTATGAGATTTACTGATTTACAAATCTACTAATTTTAGTAACAGATAATTAACCTAGATGATATACCTGTTATGTGCAAGAGGTAATTTATCTAGATGATGTATCTGGTATATCACCTATTACATAATTTACGATTTATCTATATTTTATTTAAATAATAAATATGCTAATAAAATAATAAATACAAATAATAAATAAATAATATAATCATAAAATATTGTTTCACAATAGTCTAATTTAAACTGTTTTTTATTTATATAAACAAAAAATAGCCTATAGTATTATAGGCATAAATTATTGTTTTAATTCAAAAAAAAAAATTTTAACAATAGACTCTATTGTTAAATTTTCTTTTTGAATTAAGACAACCAATTTGATCATTTGATATATGTTTAAAAAATTCTAATTTTAAACTTTACAATGGTAATTAAATTATAATTTTGATATTTATTAAGTTTTTATTATACAAAGTTAATACAGTTTATTTAAATTCACAAGTTACTTTAAACCATATACCAAAATTCAGGACTATTGAGTTAGGTTCAAATCTGATTTTTTAAAACTTAAATAAAATCCCATAAAACTTAACTGGACTTGATCCATAAGAAACTTTATATCCACCTGTTTTTATCTATTTACAAATGATCCTTACCTGTTTGCCTTTTACAAATATTCTTAATCTTATTTGTCACTCAACCTGTGTAAATATTAAATTTGAAATAAAACCAATACTAAATTATTTTAAATCACAACATTTACTATATATATACAGTATATCTATATAAATTAAGATTTTTATTGAAAATAGTAAATTATAACTAAAGAAACTGAATCCAAAGCCTTTGAAATAATTCTTTATAAACCTATCCAAGTGTAATTACAATATCTCTAGTATATTGTTTCATTGCATCCCAATACATTTCTATATAATACAGTTCACAGTGAAATTTAACCTTCTATTTAAATCTGTAATCATGATTTTGTAAATAGAGTCTAGTTGCAATAATAAAGCTTGATGTATATAACAATTAGTCATTTGAGATTTTCTGTTCCTTTACATAATTTGCATTCTCCCTCTTACTACTTGTCACATACCTTTAGCTTGTATTATTAGTTATTGATAAAGGGTTATTTCCAGGTACAGCCAAATAATCCTTCAATTGTTGATGATAACTTTCCCAATTAGGTATAACAAAAGGATTTGACCTAAGAGTTCTCCTTAAATTTACAAGTAATGGAATTTGACGTAAAGTTTCCACACCATCTTCACTATAAACATCTCGAATAATAGATCTAAGCATCATTTCTTGATATATTATTCGATCATTCCATTCATTTAAAATTAAATTATGATACCTAAGTGCTTCTTGTTGTTGACGAAAACTTTCATCCTTCATATCACTAATCCATTTGTCGTATTCATCTTTATTGACGAATGTTGTACTTTTATATTTCGCTGAAATGACATGTGGAATCCAATAAAAGTTTAAATCTATTTTATCATCAGGACATGGGACAAGAGGTGGAATAATGCTAAGGGTTTCATTAGTAATATTATAATTTCCTTTCAAAAGAAAATTTCGACTATAAATTAAACAATTAACAAATTAAACAAATTAGAAAAAATTAAATTAAAAAAAAAAAAATTAAACGAATTAAAAAATTAATTACCTTTTAGCTTTTGTCAAAATACACTTGTCACACGCACGAACGCGTGCAATCCAGAATATGGTAACAGTAACATTTTTATTTTTGCACATTTGACAACCATTTGCAAAATTCAATAACTTTGTCAAGTGAAATTCGGTCATTCCAGGTGGACATTTTATATTTTTGAAAAAGGTGAATCTTTCTCGAGAAGATTTCCAAATTTCAGAAGAGGTCGGAAATAATTGTTCATTAAGCATATTAGTAAAATGCTTACATACACAAGATAACATGAGTAAGTCAGAAGGAGGCAGGTAATAACAAATGTTAATAAACATTCTGTAAGTAATGTTATCTTGAATTTTTCTTTCTGGAGGATAAACGATTGGCTTTGCCAAAGCATGTACGAATTGTATATGGGGAGCTGGTACATTAATATCCATCTTTTTTAAATGAACAGGTTTTAATAATAATAATAATATGAGTTTTTACGATTAAAGTTGATAGAATTATTCCTTCTACTTAAATGTGATAACAGAACAAATGGAGCAGCAATCTTTTTTTTCCGATCAGTCATATATTAATAATAATATTAACAATACAACAAATACAACAGCATTTCAATGATTAATATTTTAAATATTTTAATACGATACATTTATATAAATTAAATAAATTGGGTCTTTACAATAATATATTAAGAACCATTAAGAAAACGGAGTAAAAAGACCATTAATTTTAGAGAAAATATTTCTCACGTGATATTATATAATGCCAAAAAAATTATTTATATTTTTCTTTTAATTCATTAACATATTTAATATACTCTTCCTTTGAGTCAGCTTGAGATGTCCCTAAAAATAAAATAATATAAAAATCATCAAAATTTTTTAAATTAGAAAAATTATACAAAGGTTGATAATTTATATACCTTTTCTCTCATTCCAAGCATCCCATTTAGCAGTTTCTTTAACGAAAAGAACTGAAGGTCGGGCTGGAAAAATAATTAATCAGTATCGATTATAAAGGAAAAAGTTCCAATGGTAATATTAAATACTCACTTGTAGAAACATCACCCACAGTTGCCTGTTTATACCAGCCATACGCTTTTAATTGGTCTTCGTTTGAAACCTTTCCAGATTGTACGAGTGCGGCAAATTCATCTGCAGCTGTTTTAAACAAATCCTTTAATATGAAGAATAATTTATCATATATAATAATTACATATTTAATGTTATAATTTCATTTAATATATGCTTTTTTTAAATTCAAATTCAAATAATTCAAATAATTAAATAATTGAATAATTGGAATTTATAAAAAAAAAACATACTTGTGACATGTTGATATTAAATTACGAAAATAAAAAAGGGCAATTTCGTAAAGAAAAAAAAGGTTAAGCTTTTTATATAAGATACTGAACGTACTAGATGATCTCTGAATGATCTATAAATGGCGTCGATAAAGACAATGTATAATGACACAATGCACAATATGATAATCATTGATGTAGATTATAATAGAAGTAACCTTAAATATCATATCAGGTGTCGTTTAAGTTTTGAAAAATTAAAAAACTCAATATTTCCTATCCTGCGAAAACCAATTTTTATTTCTTGCTTCCAACGTTTAATAATGTTATTGTATTTTAGTTTCTTTGTTATTTGCTTATTTTTTTTTTTGCTAATAAAAAACAATGTTATCTATGTAATTTTACATATTAACTTTATATCAAATGATCTCTGTGTAACAGGCAATCAATCAATTTCTGCCTAGACCCTGATTGGCTTAATTTTTTAAATTTAATAAAACGCGAAAAACGCGTGTTTATAAGTTCTTTGAAATTTATAAAAACAAAAAGTATAGATAGATAGAGAAAGATATATACAATATAAATATATAATGGATTATCGAAAAAAAGATGCATATGTTTTTCCAATACTTCCTGATGCCGATATAGTACAATTTTTAGAGCAAGTTGTAGAAGGGTTCACAGATCAAGATGTAAAGAAACCTACAGTTCAACGTTTAAATCTTGTATATGATGCTATACTAAGAGTTACCACTGGAGTTACGAAAGAAGAATGGGGCAATAAGGATTGGAATGACCATTTAGAAAATAGATTACATAATAAAATCGATAATGCTGTATGTTTTATATTTATATCATTAATAATAATATTATTATATTAATATTATATTCTTATATTATTATTATTATTACCATCATATTATCATCTTTTAGGAGTTATATATTGAACCAATGCAGTCAATGGGCCTTTATAGACGAATGTAAATTTTTTAATTTTATTTTTCTTTATCTTATTTTATCTAATAATAATAATAATAATAATTAATAATTAATAAATTAATAAATTAATAAATTAATAATTAATAAATTAATAAATTAATAATTAATAATTAATAAATTAATAATTAATAATTAATAATAATAAATTAATAATTAATAATTAATAATAATAAATATTTGAATATCAGGAACAAACTTATGACAGTTATTGGAGTCGATGATTTTTCATTCTTTGATATCATTAGACCGGAATCATTCCGAACTCGTAGAATTCTTAGTGCTATCATTAATTTTATGAGATTTCGTGAAGACAGAATATGCATATTTAATGATTACGAAAAGCATTCAGTGAGTTATATATAGCATTCTAAGGAAGATAAGGAAGAATTATCCAATAAGATTATATAAAGGTTATTTCACATTTCTATAACATTTTTTTTTTAACATTTATTTATAAAAAAAAAAAATCTATTATTTAAACAGGAAGAACTTTTAGAAAAAAGTGAGGAACTAGTGAATCGTTATAATACACTTGTAGAAAAAGTGAACGAATTAAAATCACAACGCAAAGAACAAGAGAATGAAGTGAAAGTTTATATGCAACAAAATGCAAATTTAATGAGTGGAATGCGTGAATTGAAAAAAAAGCAAACTGGGTTATTAAATGAAATTGCTACATTAAAAAACATTAGAGTTGATTGGACTGAAAAAATTGTATGTACAAATGAAAATTTCAAAAAAAAAAAAAAAGAAAATACGCTCAAATTTCATTTCAAATTCATTCCCAAGAGTATTCCATGTTAACATTTAATTTTTTTGATTTAATAGAATAATACACATTTCTTGGTGGTGACCGCCAAACAAGTTCTGGAAAAGTTAAAAAGTCGTATAGTGTTGAACCCCGAAAAATTGAAACAGGTATGAAATTACATACCTTTTTGTTTAGCGTGATATTTCTTTAATTAATCTTCCTTTATTTATAATAATAGACAATTGAGGAGATGAATGAAACTATGGCACGAGAAAAAGAAACAATGTTGGGACTTGACAAGAAAGTTCGCGATATTCAAACCAAATTTGATATGTTGACTATCGTTGAGGAGGAAATTATTTCTTGTAATAAAATGTTAGATGATGCTATAAATCAAAGGATTAAAGCTGACAAGGCAAATAAAGACTTCAGAGATCTTCAAGCAGAAGCAGAAAACAAACGACAGTTTTTGAGAGAGTATGTTAAAAAAGAACAAGTATGCATATTAATGATAATGCATAATAAGATTATAAATTATATAAATTATATAAATTATATAAATTATATGTATATATTTTTTTTTTGAAAGATTATAAGCAGACAAAAACTAAATCTAGAAGAAAGAACTCAACGTCTAAGAGAAAAACATAATCAAAGAATGGCAGAAACCGAAAAAAAGTATACAGCTTTACAAGCAGAATATGAAAAAATTCTTGAAGAACGCAAAGAAATTGAACTAAAGGCAGCAGAAGAAAAAAATATATATAATGAAACATTAGCCAAGGTAAAATTATTATTATTTTTAATAATATTGTCCGACATTCTTTTCAAGTACTATATAATTAATTGTATTATTTGTGATGAATTAGTGTAATGATTTGGTTCAAGCTTGGAATAAAGAAAAGGCCGAAGTTGAATCCGAGTTTAAGGCATTGAAGGATAGAATTGAAGGATATCATCAAGAAATTATTCTCACGTGTAGGGTTCATAAAATTTTTACAGATAAAGCACCTAATTTCTAAATTTTGGAAATATATATATATATATATATATGATTATATGTATATATATATTTTTTTTTTTTGATAATTATTATCAATTATAAAATCAATCCTAAAAATGATTTTAATCAATACATATTTAATGAACAAATAAAATTATTCATTATTGATTCTAATTGAATTTATTGAGTTGGTGGTTGTTGTGATTGAGAATTATGACTATGATTTTGTTGTTGAGGTAATTCATTCAAAAAGTCCAAAGCAAGATCTTTCCATTTATCTGTATCCTGTTTTAATTGTTCTGGTATTAATTCATCTATAAATGAATTTTTATAGAAAAAAAAAATAAATTAGAAAAAATAATGAATTTATAGGTTGATATATATTGTACTTACATTCTTCATTCTCTTCCAAAGATGGTGGTTGATATTTAAGAGGTACAGCAATTCCTAACAAAAAAAAAGTTTTAACAGTTTATTCTATGAAATATATTAAAAAAAAAATAGAAAAAGAGGAAGTGCTCACCATCTTTGGGTAATTCATCATTTTCCCATTTATCAATAAAATCTAAATGTTTAGTATCTCTTAAATGTGCATGATTAAATCGGCCATCCTATTAAAAATTAAAAGATTAATAATTTTGATTCAAAGAGAATAAATAAATAAATAATATAAGATATTTAACCATTATTGGTTATCAAAGTCTGAAGAAGTTCAGAAATCTATTATTTAACGCGTTTTTATATATTTCATTTAATGCGCCACTAAATTACTAAATTTAATTTTCGTAACCATCCAATCATTATCTTGCTAATTACTTCAGTTACAAATTAGAACAATAACGATAATGTATTCTCCAACTTTTTTTAACGATAGTCGATCAAGAATTCATAGATCACATTCTTCTACTTATCGTATACAACCTCATTCAAAACGGAGAGTTGCCTACTTTCATAATAAAGATGTTGGATCCTTTCACTTTGGAGTATGTTCTTTGATACTTGATATAAATAATTTATTTGATCTGTTTTATATACTTTGTATTTATTGTTTCTTTTTTTTTTTCATTTGTTCAATTCGATCATTATAATCATATTATTTATTGATTCTAATTTTTTTTTTTTTAAAAAAAAGCCTCAACATCCGATGAAACCAGAACGTTTAACTTTGACTAACGATTTAGTCATTGGTTATCGTTTACATGAAAAAATGGATATTTTTTGTCCTCCGGGGGCTACCGATGAAGAATTAATGGAATTTCACGCTAGTGCATATATAAAATTTTTAAAAGAGTATGTATTAATATAATAAATAATAATATTTACAATGTTTTCATATTCTCAATATTTACAATATTATTATTTTTTTTTTATATAAAGGGTTACAACAGAGAATGCAAAACAATTTTCAAAAGATTATTTTAATAAATTTAATATTAATGAAGATTGTCCAATATTCTCTGGTGTATATGATTATTGTAAAATATATGCGGGAGCTTCTGTCGCTGCTGCAGAACGTTTAGCGTCTGGTGTATCGGATATATGCGTGAATTGGAGTGGAGGATTACATCATGCAAAACAATTTGAAGCTTCGGGATTTTGTTTTGTTAATGATATAGTATTAGCTATTCAACACTTATTAAGGTTATTTATTTTATTTTATTTTATTTTATTTTATTTTTATTTTTTATTTATTTCTCAAAATAACATTATTATTATTTAAATTTTAAAGGTATTATCCAAGAGTTTTATATATAGATATTGATATACATCATGGAGATGGTGTACAAGAGGCGTTTTACCTTACCGATCGAGTAATGACTGTTTCATTTCATAAATATGACAATGGAAATTATTTTCCGGGAACAGGAGATTTCGATGAAATTGGTACAGGAACGGGAAAATATTTTAGTTTAAATGTTCCACTTAAAGATGGTATGGACGATGATAGTTATATAGTATTATTTAAAGACATTATAACAGCAGTTAAAGATAAATATCGACCAAGTGTTATTGTATTACAATCTGGAGCTGATTCACTTGGTAAAGATAAATTAGGTGGATTTAATCTTAGTATTAAAGGACATGGAGAATGTGTTAGATATGTAAAAAGTTGGAATATTCCTTTACTTGTTCTTGGTGGAGGAGGTTATACCGTGAAAAATGTTGCAAGATGTTGGGCATATGAAACGAGTATTTTAGTTGATACCGAAGTATCGGAAGAATTATCACCTGATGTAACAAATTTTTATGCATTATTTGGACCAGATTATTCATTACATCCTCAACTTGTTAATAAAGTGGAAAATCAAAATTCCAAGAGTGATTTACAAAAATTAACTCAACAAGTTTTAGAACATTTAAAAGCATTAGATGGAGCTCCAAGTGTACAAATGCAAGAAATGCCAACAGAAATTTATGGAAATTTGGAAAAACATGATAATGAATTAAAAGATCTTCGCGAAGAAAGGCGAGCGGATTATAGACTTAGACAAAGATTGATTTGGCATGATAATGAATACTTTGATGATGAAAATGATCATGATAAGGATCAATTGATAGATGAAGAAAATGGATGACATTATTATTCATTATTCATTATTATTTTATATTTTTTTTATTTATTGTATATTTAGTTAGATAAATAATATTAAATTATATAAAAAAATATAAAAAAAAAAAATATAAAATAATATAAAATAATATTAATTTTTTTTAGATGATTTTAGAGAGTTTTTATTGAATTTATTGAAAAAATCGAAAAATTCCTACAGAAATGCTCACTAATAAATATTTAATAATAAAATTATTATAAAAAGTTACAAAGATAATAATAATAATAGATAATAGATAATAAATAAGAATTCAACATTTAATATACTCACAAATACCAATTACATTTAATCCAAATTTTCTAAAATTTGGTGATTTATTTTTTATTTTGGTAGAATTTAATTTTAATGCTTGATAAATTGAATAAGATCCTAATCCTATAAATGTTGTCGAACCTACTAATTTACAAGCTAAACAATCTTGATATTCAACTTGCGATTGTTGAGTGGAATCTTCACGAGGAGGAGGCTGTGATGATGAAGTTTCTTTAGATGACATTTTTAAATTCTTCGAGAAAAAAACAGTTATAAATTGATAAAAAAAAAAAATTTCAGAAGTTCTCTAACTTTATGTTACCTAACTTACTCACGTGAATCTCGAAATTATAATTATTACTAAGCAAACATTGGATACACATTAAACTTGTATAATTTATTGTTATATATTTATTAAGTCAACTTTCACACGATTTATTGTTCTCCCAAATTTCACATAAGATTCAATCAGAATAATCCAAATTCATCTAATAAAAATGCCGGTTTGTAGATATTTCTTAGAAGGTCGTTGCAGATTTGGTAATTTATGCCGGGATGAACACGTTGGTAACGGAAATCAACGTTATAACCAACAACGCAACGATAACAACAACATATACGATCGTATTAGCTATAATAGTAAGAAAATTGATTGTAATATTATAAATATAATATTATAAAATAGAAACTTATCGAAATTTTTTATTCGAGTTAATTTTAAACAACTAACTTAAGCATCTTTAATCTTGTAAATTGTAGAAGGTGGTTCGGGAACTCATAATAATAATAACAATAATAATAATTCTAAACCTTATGAGTATGTAATATTTATTTCATTGATAAAATACAATTGAATTTTATTATTAATTAAATTTTCTGAAAAAAAAAATAATAATTATAGCGAAAGGAGTGTAAGAACGGATCTAACTAAAGATCGACCCATATACCGGTATTCAGTTTATGGTCCAGTAAAAGACGAGCCCAATCTAATTGAAGAAACAGACTATTCACCAGAAGAATTACGATTACAATATTATATAATTATGGGAACGTATGGAAATGATGCATCATATGTACGTAATTTATATATTTTATGTATTTTAGTGAATTCTTTTTTTTTTCTGAATTAAATATTATAATTCCAAGAAGACAAAGGAATAAAGTCAGTTGAGTTACATTTTGGGAAAATGATTTTATTGTAACCTTTTTTTTCAAAATCCAACAGCAAAATGGGGTTAAAGATCTGGAGAATCGAATGCAAATGAAAGTTGATTCTACTCTTAAAGACTTACGGTCTGCTTTAAATACATTCGAATCCAAAAAACAACAAACATCTAGTTTTGGATCATTTGGTGGCGGAAATACATTCGGTCAACAACAACAACAACAACAACAACAACATCAACAACAACAGACTTATGGAGTTCCCCAAAACACTTTTGGAGCTACACCTAGTGCATATGGGTCAAATGTACCTAGCGCATTTGGTTCAAATACACCGAATACATTTGGTTCGAATACACCAAGTGCATTTAATAATAATCCATCAAGTACATATAATATAAATCCATCAAATTCATTTGGTTCAAATATACCGAATGCATATGGTTCAAATACACCAAGTGCATTTAATAATAATCCACCTAATGCATTTAATAATAATCCGCCTAGTGCATTTGGTTCAAATCAACCCAGTGCATTTGGTTCAAATTCAATAGGATTCCCACAACCTCAACCACCCTTACAATTTGGGGCATCCACTTTTGGTAATAATTCACTTGAAAGTAATCAAAATGCTTTTGGTTCAACAACACCAGCGGCATTTGGAGGAGAAGGTGGTGGTGGAGGTTTCGGACAACAATCACTGACAGAACAGCAACAGCAACAGTTATTTCAGCAGCAACAACAACAGCAGCAGCAGCAACAACAAGATTTATATACGCAGCAACAAGATTTATATACACAACAACAACCTGATTCTGCGAATTTATGGTCCCGGGGTAATTTAAATTTGTATAAAATGCCAGAAGAGGCACCACCATTTATATTTAAAAAATAAATCATGTATATAACAATGGAAACAAAGAAAAATGGTAATTTAAATTTAAATTTTTTAATTATTATAATTTTTTTTTGTTGTTATATAAACTAATCATTGGTCCCTGTTTATAAATATCTATATTTACAGAAACATTTACCGATTATTTTTAATAACGAATGTTTTTTATATCTTAAAAAAACATTCAACATGAATAATTATCTAATTTTCTTATTTTCTTATTTTCTTTACTACTAATGAAATATGAAATAATAGAATTATAAAATTGTGGATCAAAGTTGATCTATGAATAACAAATTATTTATTGTAATTTTCTACGATACTTATTAAAGAAATAAAAAAAGATAAATTTACTTGTACATAATAAGATATTTCCGTTGATCACATGATGTTGCACGATTTATTTGAGAGAAAATACCCTACATTCTTACTAAAATCAAAATCTTCGAATCAACAAATAAAAAAAAAATTTTTTTCATCAAGACAAATTGTCACGTTCCAACGAAAAAACATGAATAATGTGAAAAGAACTATGTTAATATTTTATTATATTTTATGTCAAGTTCTATGTTGAGGCAAAAAAAGTAAACATCAACCAAATTTGAAAATCCTCTAAATTCGAACCCACATTAAAAGTGCGATAAAAATAGATAACCAAAATTTTATGACAGTGTGAATTAAAGATATTAAATATTAAAATATTATTAAAAAATGAATAAATGTTGTGAAAAATGAAATAATGAAAGGTGAATTGGTTGATTTCCAATGGTTATCAAAAATTTTGAACTATACATCCTCTTCCCAAAATTAATTAATTAATTAACTGAAACGAGTGAAAGAATGATTATAATTAACTACACCACACTCAATTAACTCAATGAGCTTGAATACCACCATTAACATTTTCATTAATACTGTATCCTGATCGTAATTTTTTCTCTTCGGCGATCCTTCTAGCTTGACTTTGAATATCACCTATAAGAGAATAGGTATTCGTATATAAATCATGGGCAATTCTACCCGGAGAGGTTTCTAATGCTTGGACAGCTCTGCCTTGTGCTTGTGCAGCGTATGATTTTACTGTATCTTGAATGGCAAAATGAGTGTCAAGCTCCAGAGCCTTGGAAGTAACCTTTTCGGACAATTTATATTTTTCATCTAACTCTAGGACTATTAACAAATAAGGTTATTTTATTTTATTTTTTTTTTTTAGAAATAAAGGAAAAGGAAAAGAATTTTTTTTTTTTTTTTGAAATTTCACGACTTACGCTTGGATTGTAACGTTGAAAGGTACTGGGATAAACTTGCGGTAACACCAAATTTGGCTATAAAAAAAATAATATATTTTTTTTAGAACAAAAATGATCACTAAAGAGATGAATTCAATTTTTTTACAATAAACGCACCATTTAACTCACATCCTGTCTCAAAAATTGTGTCCTGCAATTGATATCCGGCAGCTAAGATCTCAGCAAGGAGATCAGCCTTTGATCTGGAACTGGTAGAATCTTCATCTGAATATGAGTCGTCGGAGGTGTCGTCAGCAGATTTGACGATGATCTGGGAATCACCTAACACAGCATTTGAAAGCATTAGTGCGGTTTTTGCGCCACTCTCTTTTTCGAATGTGATATATGCAGTTTGTTTATCACTATTTTCATCTCTATAAATTAAAAAATCAATGAGATGAGAAAAAATGAATTATGTGATTATTATCATATATAGAATAAAATGAATGTACTTACTTTACAAGTTCAAATTCTTTAATTTTATCACAAAATAAAAAAAAATCTTTGGCTAATATATAATTTTATTAAAACGTGTCACAAATAAGGATAGATTGTAAGCATAATTGCATCAAAAATTAATTAGTGATCATCCTAAAATTTTGTTTCTGGTTTTTTTTTTTCTTTAAAATATATATATATATATATAGAGGCATTCAACTAACATGATAGATAATCTTCTTGCTTGTTCTCATTTTCGAATCTCATTTCGCTCTTTAATTTCACATTCTTCTCCACGATACATTTGAATCCTCTCTCTCATCCATATAAATGAAAACACGATAGAAATAACAATAATTATTTAAATAAATATGTTTACCTGCTCTTTCCGAAACAGAACTTGCGACTTCGGTAACGATAACACTTTTTGATTGTGAAGACATTTTTTAAATAGATTTAATGAATGTAAAAAAAAATGCGTATTATTGATTGCGTTTATATTAATAAGAATTGTAATAATTAGTAAATAATAAAAGTTGTCTTGAAAGAGAAAAAAAAAGTGGATTTGGGTAGTTTATATAAACCTTTCAGTGTATACAGGTCAACAAATCTATTATACTAAAAAAAAGTTTATTATATTCCACTAATCAGGTGCAATTATGACAAGGAAAAAAAAAATTTTTTTACAAATAAATCTGTTGTCTTTAGATAAGATAAAATAAATTAAATTAAATTAATAAAAAAAAAAACTTGTGAAAATAGCGTGAAAATGTGTGAAAACTCCTCATTAATATTTCTATTTACGAATGAACTGGGAATTGTGGATTGTTGACATGAGTGTAAATCGTAGATATTTTTTGGATATTTGCGTGTTTTGTGTGCGAGAAGATAATGCGCAACCCCACAATTCTCCCAAATTCTCTCACCCATGTCAAATGATAATGTACAAAAAATTTTTTTTGATGTTTAATCAGGTTCTAAACAAGATGATTTCAATATGCATGAAGCATGTTCGAGTAATGACCCGAGTAATGCGTAACTTATTTACAATATAAAATATATTAAATGAATCTTTTAACAATAAGCCTCAATCATACTATGTATGTTACTTATGATATTCATATAAATGTGGACTTCTTTGTATTGTATGCGTACTTGTTAATGTTCAAAAAAGTAAAAATAGATATCGATCATAGCGTGACAAGTAAAAAAAAGCATATGCTCTTATTAACTTTTTTTTTTAATTCTTTGAAAGGAGGCACACACGTGAACTCATGTCTAAAATATTTAACTTTCTAAATGATTCACGTGGAATCATTCATCGCCAGATCGCCTTTTTTATGAATCACAATAATTTTAGCTATTTATATTTAATATATTTAAATAATATTTTTAATATAAATTATCATCCCCTTACTTTTTAATAAAACCTTATTCATTACGCACAACTCATAAATTTTTTCCTTTCACGTGCCAACTTCTTTAATACTATCTTTCATCAGACTACCCACTTTTTTTTTGGAACCAGTCATTTTGCATCAATTAGAAAAAAAAAATTTTTTTTTTTTTCAGAAATTAATCAAATTATTTGGTATGAAGTTAATTTAAGAATAGAAATTCATTTTGCTTTATTAAGATAGTTATTCAAATTTAAGATGAAATCAAATCGCTCGAAAAAGAATACTATTTTATTTAAAGTTGTTGTATTATATATAAATATTTAAATTTTCTTCCATCTTTTTAGTCTTCTAATGGTAATATCACATTCTTGTTATCTTGAGAAATATTCCCAATGAGAAACAATTTATGTAATTCTTATAAAGAAATATGAAAGGCACAAGCAAATTCTGTTATAGGAAGAACTATAAAGAAATTATAAAAAAAGTTCTTGAATCTATCTGGACAGTTTGGGTTTGAAATAAACCTTATACAGTAACTCATAATTATCCGATTGGTAAAATTCATAAGTGAGCTAGGTGAAATTGATATTTAAATAATGTTTTAACGTTTTATGTACAAGTTCTACGCGTGATTTTATAAGAAGAATATTCACAAATATGATTGGTGATACTAAGTAAGATATAATTGGCTCACTCATCTAATATTTTCGGCAAATTTAATTTAGGTTGCCGAATGGTTGCGCGTTTGAAATATAACTATTGTAAAATTTTATATATAACATAAATGTGTGATTTATCAACTTTCCATTATTTGGATGTATTAGCGATTTAGACAACAATAATCTTTTAATAAATTGTTCTTTTTATATTAAAACCTTAAATAAATAATAATAATCTTTTAATAAATTGTTCTTTTTTATATTACTATTGTTGATTTTCGTCTAGAATATTATTTATGATTTAAATTTATTATAACATTTTTTGGCAACCTATAATACTTTCCTGCATTACTTTCGGTAGCCAATATTGTTTTAAGCAGCCGATATCATTTCTGCCAAAACATTTTCGGATAATTACAAATGCAAAATCAATTTAGATAACCATCCCAATCTAAATAATCGTACTAGTATTGTTGTATAAATGCACTAATTTTGCTCTCACCAGCTTGATAACTTGTGTATAACGTAGTATACATATATGCTCGAGAATCTTCTTACCGTAAAAAAAATCGCTTGCGTAACATGAACTTTTAATCGACATGTATAGTAGAATATTACAAAATTCAAATAGAAAAGGGAGTTAAAAAAAAAGTATTCGTTGCATTGTCTATATTTTGCCGCCAAAATTGATCCTTCCCATGGAATATTAAAGAACAAAATCGAAAAAAGTTGATGATTTATATTATATTGATATCCTTTAGGTATGAATATAACTTTTTGACTAGTAAACCATTTTTAAAATTTTTTTATCTTTTTACAGCAAAGTGTGCGAAACTCAAAAATTGGTGACTTTTCATCAAGAATTTTTGAGGCTTTAAAGATTTCAAAAGTAACAATCATCAGGAAATTTTATTAGGCGAAAATTTGTACTAATTTTCACCACCTGCGAAAATTTGCGCAAGTTTTTGTGCGTTTTTTTTTGTTTTTTCGACTTCGCTCGCAGTTTTCGATGCACAGAGTGATTTTCTACTAAGGTATTTCTAAGATAGATAGAACAGCCTTGTCTTTAGCTACAAATTGTATGTTTTTTATTCCTGTAACATCGATATTCGCGGAGATCACGCGGTTTGAAAAACCTATGTGAAAAAAAATCGGGCGAAAATTTGCGGAGATTTGCAAAAGCAAATTTTGCTAATTTTCACACGATTTTTTCACAAATGGTTTTTTTTAAACCGCGCGAACTCCGCGAATATTGATGCTACAGGAATGAAACACATACTATTTTGTAGCTAAAGACAAGGCTGTTATATCTATCTTAGAAATACCTTAGTAGAAAATCTTCTGTGCCTCTCAAACTGTGAGCGACGTCGAAAAAATGGAAAAAAACTCGCGCAAAATTATTAACTCTCAGCGTGACTTGCTTTACCTCCATCCATTACTAATAATCAACTTATAAACTCTGTTTGAGAATGAATGAATAAGATTTTTAAATTGATAGTTATCACAGTTTATTATATTAGCAAAGCTTTGTTATATGTAGAAAATTTCATTAAAAAAGTTTTCTAACAAATAATTGGGTGGGTCTAAAATACGTTTTTTATTTTCTGTGAAACATATCAAAAAACCAGTTCTGAGAATTATTCTTTTTTTCTCGAAATGTGGATTGTGGGGGTAGAAGTATTGTGTTGTTAAAGGACTTCTTTTCGAAAGTATTAAACTTTTTTTTGCTTATTGGGAAAGTGAAAAATGAAGGGTTAATTATTTGGTTAATTAATAAATATTTACGTGTTATTATTAAATAAATAAAAAATTTCGAGTGCACGAAACAAACAAAAACTAATGTAAAAATGTGATTGATCATCATTATTTAATAAAAATAACAATATCAATGAAATCGGTGACAATAATGATATAATAAACTTTATTCTCCTCTTTAATCATATAAATCCACGGAATATGTTGAACCATAAATTTTTTTTTTATATGAATTAAATAATATAATAATATATTTGTTTTTATATTTGTTTTATATTAGGGAATAAAATAAAAAAACAATATAAATAAAAATAAATGAAATATAGAGTATAATTTAAAGTTTTTTTTTTAGTTTATATACACAGTTTAATCATTCTCGAAAACATTATATACTATTATATATTATTATTATTATATATATATATATATTGATAGAAAAAACGCTAGATTTATTTATAGTAAGAATTTTTTAAAATATAGATTTTCGAAATTACGTAAAATACGTTTAAATTTTTAAACTTTTTAAATTTAGATTTTAGTGCAATTTTTTTATTGCCAATGAAAAAAATAAAAGAATTTTTAAACCAATGCCTCTCCACTAAATCGTCCCACCTTTTTTTTTTCGAAGTAAATAATAATAACAAACAAAATAATACTCATAAAAAACAAAAGTAAACAAAAAAAATATACAGTTGTTACTTTTTGTGAAAAAAAATTTACAAAGCGAAATTCTATCGCCTAAAAAAAAAAAAAAATAAAAAAGAAAATAAAGAAAATACAAAAAAGAAATTTTTTTAAAAAAAGCACACCTTTTTTTTGTTTAATAATAAAAAAAAAATAATAATAATAAAAAAAGAATATTTTTAATCAACCCCTTGAATTATCCAATTATCTCTTTTTGTATTTAACCATCCTCTATTCATTCTCTTTTTGGTCTTGTAAATACGTCTCCATCTCCCTTGCATATCTCGCCTTGTCATCTGAGGCCATCTTCTCCCAACGTTCCCTTTGCTCAGGTGTCAAGTTTTTCCAGTGACTTGCAATAATTTTGCTGATAGGACCAACTGTACTTCCAGGATTTTGTTCTGCAACATGAGGTCTCATTTCCAATGCGTAGAACAAGAATCCTGACATGGGATGCTTTGGTGCTGTTGGATGACGGCTTCTCTTCTTTTTACGACCTCGTGGATCCTTTAATGGTGAATGAGCAGGTGATCCTTCACGATGATTATTATTATTATTATTATTATTATTTTGGGTATTTTGATCATCGTCAGAATCAGAATCGTCACGGTTAAAATGACGTTTTTTAGAATAACTATGATGTCCTGCAGCTGCAAGTTCGGCTTTTGATCTTCGAGTATAGACGAAATCGGGATGAGTTTCGTGAAACTCATTTTTTAGTTCTCTAGCTTTTTGTAGGTATTGATCTCTTTGTTCCTAATAATATATAATATATATATGTATATATGGTGTGTTAATTAAATTATGAAAATATTATATATATATATATATATATATATTATAATAAAATAAAAATATTAGAATATTATATTATTTACCTCTGTCATGCCTCGCCAATTTTCCCCGATGGTCTTTGAAATTTCTGCAACTGTCATATTAGGGTTCATTTCTAAGACTTTTGGCCTCATTTCTTTATTAAATATTAAAAAGGCGTTCATCGGTCGTTTCAATTTGTTATCTTTTCTATTGGGAGTGGTTGTGGGAGTAGAAGTACTTGTACTTGAAGAAGAGGTTCCAATAGCTTGTTGAGGTGTTGATCTTTGTTGTGGAGGTTGTGTGGGTGGTAATGATGGATTATTATTATTATTATTATTATTATTATTATTATTATTATTATTATTCTGACGATTAATTGCTGGTGAATTTCTTTGTGGAGTAGATGAAGAAGGATGTTGATGTGGTGATGAGGTATAAGTATTTGAAGCATGTTGAGGAGGAACCACTCCATTTAATGAATCATTTTGCTAATAAAAATAAAAAAAAATAATAATAATAAAATTAAATTATCAAGTCAAATTCAAATCAAACCAAATCAAATCAAAAAATAATTTAATAAATGCATACCATTGGCATATTAGATGATTGAGGTGGCACCGCTATTGGATCGGGCTGAGGTTTATTGTTTGAAGAGGAGCTGACCGTTGTTATTGGAGGTGCAATTGGTCTCTTTTTAGCGGAATTAGAGGAACCTCGACGAGTATACACAAAATCGGGATTCGATTGTTTGAAATCTTCTTTCAATTGACGGGCTCTTGCATTGTAATGATCCTTTCGCGCCTATAATTATTATATGAAATTATTTATAAATAAATAAAAATAAATATCAGTAAATATCATTAAATAATGAATAAATCAATAATAAAAATAAAAATAAAATAAAATAAAATAACGTACAGGATCCATATTTTGCCATTCTTCTCCCAAAATTTTACTAACTTGAGCTGTTTGCATATTAGGATCATTTTTTTGTAATTCGGGTCTACGTTCACTTGAAAATATGATGAATGCATTCATTGGCCTCTTTGGTTTATGCTCTTTCTGTGGAGGAAGACCAGTCGGTATATCAGAGTTATTCTCTTGAGGTGGTAAAGATGATGTATTATTAATATTGGTATTATTAATATTGTTATTATTGATATTGTTATTATTGATATTATTATTAATATTATTATTAGTTCGAGGTGCAGAATTAGATGAAGCAGGTGTAACAGGTGTAATTTTAGCGGATTTTGGAGTATTTTGAATATTTGTTGGAGGAAAGCTTGAAGGTTGTTGTTGTTGATTAATGACACGTCCCATTGGTTTAGGTGTAGTATGTTGCATTTGTATTTGGGAATCAGAAGTTTGTTGAGTTTGTTGAGGAAGATGATGTTGTTGAATCGGTTGACCATGTTGTAATTGTTGTAATTGAGGAGTTTGTTGTTGTGGTGAAGGTTGTTGTAATTGTTGTTGTTGATGATGAATTGGTGGTTGATGACGCATTTGTTGTTGTGATTGATTTTGTTGTTGATGCATTTGATTATGTTGATGCATTGGGGAAGGAGTTTGTTGTGCTTGTTGTTGAATTTGAGAAGTTTGAGAATGTAATTGTTGTGGAGGTGGCATTACTTGATTAGACATACCAGATGATTTTTTAGAATTGGATTTTTGTAATCGAGGGGATGATATTGAATTATTAGTTTGATTTGGATGCATATGTTGTGGTTGTAAATGAGGTGAAGTAGTATAACTATATGGACTTCGACTAGCTTGTTGATGAGTTTGATTTTGTTGTTGCTGTAATTGATGTTGTAATTGATGTTGTTGAATTTGTTGTTGTTGTGATTGTTGTTGTTGCTGTTGTTGTTGTTGTTGTTGTTGTTGTTGTTGTTGTTGTTGTTGAGGAGTGGCAGATGAAGCATTTTGTTGAGAATAATTTACTCCAACATTTGAAGATAGAAATTCATTATATCTTTGTGCATGTGTAGCATTTTGAGCAACATTTGATTGTTGGGGTGTTTGTTGTTGTTGTTGAGCTTGTTGATTAGGATAAGGTGGTGGTGGTTGTTGTTGTTGCTGACCGGATTGACCACTCATTATATAATTATTAATATTATAATTAACATTAGGGTTTCTTTGTGTCATTCCGGTCATATTAGGAGTATTATAAACACTGCTTGAATCTGCCGAAGAACGTTTGTTAGTTGAATTATTTACGGAAGCACTAGACGAATGACCAGAACTTGAATCTGTTATACTACTAATAGAAGTATTTGGAGACGTAGATGAACTGGGAGGGTTGTTATAACGTCTTTGTGGTTGACGTTGAATTTGAGTGGGAGTTGTATGTTGAGATTGTGGATAACGATTATTAATATTATTATTACCCATATAATTCTGTTGATTACTGGGAGAAATTGATGCTTGAGCTGACGGAGTATTCGATGGCAATGATGATGATGTCACTAGTGAATTATCTATTAAAGATTCGGGGTCTATTTCATTTGACTATAAAATAAAGTTGATGATTAGAATTGTGATATGAATAGCGATGGAAATATATTGATAAACATAATGATAAAAATGATGAAAAATAATGATGATAAAATAATGATGAAGAAAATACATACCGTTGTATCAACTTCAACAAAAGTACTTATATTTGTTGGATCATTAACTGACATCGTTGGTCTTTGAAATCCTACGTTATTAAGTCCGATAGTAGCCATACCTCCTATACTACTTAAACTACTCATATTATTCATATTACTATTCGTATCCATATGATATATTCCTTGACGCATCAATGTAGCTGATGATGAATTAGGGGTGGGAAGAGAAAGCATGTTACTATTATTATTGTTATTATTATGCGTGGAATGAGTTTGAGTTTGAGCGGCAGGAGTTGGAGATGTATGAAAAGCAGCTAAAGAAGTTAAAGGTGATTGTTGATTATGTGCACCTAGCAATCCCAAAATAATAATAATAATAATAATGATAATAAAATATAATCGATGACAAAATACAATTAATAAAAAAAAATAATAATAATATTTAACAATACAAAATAAATTAATAATAATAATAATAATAATAATTATTATTATTATTATTATTATTATTACAAGAATAAGGAATGTAATTTTAATATACATATATATTATATATATTATATATATATATGTATGTATAATAATAATCACATTAGTATTCACATAATAGTAATAATAATAATAATAATAATAATAATAATAATAATAATAATAATAATAATAATTTAATAAAATAAAAATAAATAATTTATTAAATTAAAATTATTTTTCAAATTATTAATTATAATAAATAAATAATAAATACCTAATGATGATTGATGACTAGGAAAAGCGTGACTATCACCACTTAATCGATTTGCCATTGTTTGTTGTTGTATCCTACGAGTTTGCTGTGGTGATTGTTGTTGTTGTTGTTGTTGTTGAGTTGTAGTACTAAACAAACTAGGGCTCGCAGTTTGAGCAAAGGTACCGGTGTTACTTCCGGATTGTCCATTGCTTCCGTAAATGCTGTTAGTTAACATGCTACTATGATTAGTCGTTGAATTTGTACTACCCGATGCGCCTAAATCCGTACTCCAAGTATTTTTATTTGTAGGCCATGATTGTTGAATGTGCGTTGGTTGTGGTTGTTGTGGCTGGTGAGATCCGAGATGAGCCCCATAACCACCTCGTAAATCATTATTCATCCTGGAGTTATTACTATAAGGATTAAAATTACTAAATTGAGATGCATTATGAGTCGATAATCCATGTTGGAGTACAGCGGATGAATGCTGTTGTGGCTGTTGAGTAGGTTGATACGGGGGACCCGGTGGCCCGGGCGGTTGATACGAATAATTTCTCTGAGCATTAGGTGTAGATTGATTAGGCGGACTAAACCGGTTATACATATTATTATTATTATAATTTATAATTATATTATTATTTCGACTTTATATATATATATATATCCACCGTTGAAAATTGGGATCGTTTTTATTATTTAGATGTGGAAGCGTTAGATATATTCCTAACTATATAAGAATTAAAGAATAATTATAATAAAATAAAAAATAAAAATAAAAAGAAGAATGATTAAAAGAAATATATTTAAAATAAAACTTGATCGCGAACAATAATCTTTAATCTATATAGTTACAGAAAAAAAGGACGGCAACTGTAACAATACAATTTTAGGATCGTTTTTTTTTCTTATTAGATAATAATTGTAATTTATTAAACAGTACCTTAAATAATAGAGTCCTTAATAATAGTGGTAGTTCCTTAATAATATAGTCCTTATTAATTAGATAGCAGTAAGTAATAATAGGAACGTTAAATAAAAAAACGTATAGTTGAAGGCTGTTATAAAGTAAGTTTTTTTTTAAAAAAAAAAAAAAAAAAAATATTTGTAATAATAATAATAATAGAAAAAGTTAGTATGAAAAAATAAAGAAGTAAATAAAATATAATATAAAAAAAAAAAAAAAAAAAAAAGGTTGTATGATAAACGCACACACACACACAAAGTAAAGTAAAGTTGAAAAGTGGAGTGAAAAGTTGTTTGTATATCGCACCAAAAAATAGATTTTTTCGCAATAATAACTGATTTTATAAAAAGAGGAAAGAGAATAATATTAAGATTTAATAATTTTTTAATAATGCGATGATATAGAGTGAAAAAAAAAAAATAAAAAGTAATAGTAGTATTTATTGTTGTTTATAATGATTGGCTTATTATTATTGGCTTATGATTATTGGTTTAAAAAAAAATATTATTGGTTATTATAATTATTATTGGTTATTATTATTATTATTACGTATTATTATTATTACGTTTATTACGTATTATATTATTATTATTATTATTATTATTATTATTATTATTAAATTTATTATTATTATTATTTTTGTGTGTGATTTAATATTTTTTTTTTCAATAGTTTCAAATACTACTATTACTTATCTGTTATTTACGTTATTTATAAAAAAAAAAAAAATTGGAGAAAAAAATATCCGGAACTTCAAATAAACTAAATAAACTAAATAATATTTAATAATTAAATAATAAATAATAATAATAATAATAATAATAATAATAATAATAATAATAATAATAATAATAATAATAAAAATATTAATATTATTATTATTAAAATATTAAATATTAAATAATAAACTAAATAAACTAATAAACTAAATATACATTAAATAATAAACTGCACAGTATAAGAAATAATAAAAAAAAAAAAAAAAAAGCGGGTGGTATACATACTTGTATTGTAATTTTTTTTTTTTTGAAAAATACAAGCAATACTGTTTAGAATTGGAGAAAGGAAGCTTATTATATGTGTTTGAGAATGCAAAAAAAAAAGTTACCGCACAATAAAATAAGGTGTGGGTGTTACTTATTTTAAAGTTACACAAAGGGGCGTTTGTGTAAAGTTTTTGTGTTTGGATTACGACATGTCTGATGATGTTGCGTTGTTCAATCTAAACTTGATCACTTATTATAATTTATTATAGTTTAACATAAAAAATACTTTAATATTATATTATTATTATTATTATTATATATATATATATTTATTTATTTATATACATACACATATGATTTACACTTCATTTTTTTTTTATATACCATTTAAAGAGTATATTTTTTTTTTATGTGATATCTATCAATTTTTGGAAATAAATAAATTTTTGGGCAGATTTTATCTTTAATTCTGGTCAGATATTTTTTATTCGATATTACTAGAATTGGAATTTTATTTGTTTTATTCATTTTTTATTGGTTATTTCGGTTGTTATTTTCGTGTTATTCTACTTTACTTATTTATTATTAGTCATTTATTATTTAAATTACCCCTATTTTAACTTTTTATATTTTAACGAATACTTTTTTTTTTTTTATTATATCTTTATTGTATTTTTTTTTTTATATCTTTTATTGTATCCTTTTTTTTTTAAATTATCTTTTTTTATATATTATTATTATTATTATCACATTATAAAAAAATTAAAAATAGTTATACTATTTTGGTTGTTTGTATAGAATGTTGTACAATTTTGTTTGAGTGAATGAAAATATTTATGATTGGGGTGATACGATGATATTACACAACAATAACTGCATTGAAGATAACATAAAATATGATAAAATATGATCCAATGAAAGATAAAAAAGAAATTGGGCGGAGCATTTTTACCGAATTAGTAATGTCGGATGATGCAGGAGGGACAATAAAAAGCATATAAATATATATATATGAATAGGATAAATGAATGATATATAAATGAATATAAATGAATTATATATAAATGAACTATAAAGAATTGGTTATAAAGGTATAAAGAAAAAAATATAACAAAGATGTAAGAAATGTAAAGAAAATTATAATGAAAATATATAAAAAGATAATAATGAATATATATGAACATAAAAGAAATAATATACAAATACATATATGTATATATATATATATATAAAACATTATAACAACCCGTTATGACTTATTCTTTTGGTCAAGTGTTGTGATCTATATTTGGTAAAATTAAAGTTATAAAATCTAATGTGCAACATTTTTTTTTTAAAATTTTACTTTTACGGAGTTTACAATAGTTTCAATCGGACTTGTGAACTTTATAGTGCGTCGCGTGACAATTTTATTTTATTTTTGTTATTAAAAAGAAATTATCAACATATTGTCTATTATTATCAATAGCAAACATTACGAAATAAGATATTACAAATAGATTACAAATGTATATATCTGTGTAGATTGTAATATATCAGAGATATATATATATATGTTCAAATAATATAAATAATCTAAATAATCTAAATAATATAAAATAATAGAATGTAATGATCATAAATATCATAATATTATCATAATGTATTGTCGTCAAAAAAAAAAATAACAAGAAATTTTCTTGTGAGCATTTCCTTGAAAGTTCGGAAATCCTTTTCATAGTAAATAAAAAAAAAAATCCGGAAAATACTTTAGTCAAGATGTTGTTTTTCTCAGCCTTTTTTAATTGTCGACTTTTTAAAAACTTTTTGGTTTGGATCGTAACGTGGGCGTTGGTAATAAAAAGATCAAGATCTACGGCGCGAAATAATTTTATTTCTTTCAATTTACTTATTTATAAATTATTTATTCTTAGCTGCATTTCAATCATTTTTAACCATTATTTCTTCTTTATTCATTTTTAATGGTAATTCTATGGTTGGTTAATCATCTAAACTACAAAAATAATATTTATTTCATTATTATTTTATTTTTTTTGATCTAAACCATAAAAACCCTAAAAATGAACAAATTTGTGTAAAATAATAAAAAACAATGAGATAAAAATTTTTATATTGTGGTGGACGTAAAAAAAAATGTGATTGATTGATAATTGATAATATTTAATTTATCATTTTTACCAAATTAATTTTATATATATACTTAAATATAACTTATATACACTTGTATATACTTACATATACTTTATATATATGCTTTGACTAAATTTTTAAAATTTTTACTAGAATAAAATAATTTGATTTCTTTAAAATCAAATAATTTTTGATAAAAAAAATTATTTTTATACATTTTATATTTAAAACCTTTATTATATATTTATTATAACATTATTAACATTATTAACATTATTAAAAGTTAAAGGGAAAAAATAATATAATTAATGCGTTTATTTGTATCACAAATTTTGTTTATTGATCATATCGATTATATTCTAAATTAACGTTCTTTTTAAATTTCGTTAATTTCGTTAAATAATTAAATAAATAAATTATTCCGATCATCAAGTTGAAGTTGTTTCGGGAGAAATATTATCATTATGAAATATGATGAAATATTTAAACATTTAATTAATTTTAACTCCTTAAAATTTTAAGCTTTTTTCAAAGATGGAGTTTTCTTGTACAACTCGATCTATCTTATTTTTTAACAAAAAATTCATTTGTATTTTTTGGTGTTTCGATCATTTCCAATAGCCCATTATTATTCACTTATATAATTTATATAAATGATATAAATGTTTAAGATTGTGCATACATTTAGAGTAAAAAAAAAATATCAAAATTAGAATTTTGGCATCATTTATTATTTTTATCCATTTTTATTTATTTATTTTTTTCGGTCTTTTATCATCCTGTAAATGGTGATTCATTCATTAATAAAAAAAATTGATTTCTCATATGTTCATAAATTCCGACCTAAAATATTATTAGACTACAATATTTGGAGAGATATTAGACGACAATATTTAGAAATGTCAGACTAACAATATTAAACTGCATTAGACTACATTAGACAAATTAGACTATATTGGTTAGATATTAGAAATTAAAATATAATTTCCCTCCAAAAAATCTTTAATAATAATAAATATATATATATTTAAATATATAAATATAAATATATAAATATATAAATATATAAATATATAAATATATAAATATATAAATATATAAATATATAAATATATAAATATAAATATATAAATAATAATATAAATATAATATAAATATAAATAAATAAATATTCAATACAAATAATACAAATGATACAAGATAATACAAGAAAATAAGAAAATACAAAAATAATGCGAAATAATGCGAATAATACAAAAATGTTAATACAGTCATTGATTCATACAAGAAAAGATGGAATTTATCTTTAACAAGAACAAAATTTATGGTAATTAAAGATTTATTGCGGAATATTATATCGTCAAATAAAATTATGCATAATAATCATAATAATAATAAAAAAACATCAAAATAATAATATTAAGAAATATAGATCGTAACTCATTTACACACACATACACATACATTTCTGATTAAACACATTCAGAAGACAGGAAAAGATTTACTTATTAATATCACGTGTCATAATCAACAAAAGATATTAGTAGTAATAAAATGTAATATCGAATGAAAACTTGCATAACTACTAAATAATCTGTTGACATCATGTTACATTAAATGTTGTTTTTAATTACATAAAATACATAAATTACATAAATTACATAAATCTGGGGTCAAAATCAAATCACAAAACACACAAAACACCATAATTAGATCTAATTTATTTAATTAAAGGTCTAAATATATGCAACAAGTCATATTGTCAAGTCATATTGTCAATAAGTCATAGTCATATTCCATTTTTTTTTTCCCCTTCAAAACTCATTTCTCAAATCATCCGATTTAATGTTTTCTTTTCTTTATTTTGAATAAAAAAATAAAATGAATTGAGTCATTGTTATGCAGTTAATTAAATTAGTGATTTATTAGTTATTTTACAAATATGGTACATATATAAAGAATTATACAAAAGAATTAAAGAATTACAATCAGAATTTTATAATTTCTACTTTATTAATTTTAAAAAAAAATGCAGTGCAACTAACCAAAATATTCAAAAAAAAATGTAAGATTTTTTATTGATTTCATTACTCTAAAAAAAAAAATTTGTTTCACGTTTTCACGTTCTTTTCTTCACATGCAAAATATATAATAAATATATAAAATTAGAATAATGATCATAATTATTATTAACTATGTAAATTAACATTAAAAAAAGAAATAAATTCAATTAATTTTGAAAAATGAATTTATATAAAATATTATTCGAAATGATGACATTTGAATTAAGAAGATAATACTCGGATATTTTCATGATATAATACACCAATATAATACTGACAAATTTTTAGATGATCTTAAAATTAGATTAAATAATATTAATTAATATTAAATAATAATACAATTCGATAACTTTTTTTTTTTTCCAAATAAATTTTTTTTTTTAATATAATTAAAGTATGATTTGATTAAAAAAAGTATGATTTGAATTAAAATTAATAAATTATTAAATTTGTTAATTCATAATCAAATTTACAGTATATATATTTAATGAATTATATTATTATTATATTTATACGTAAACGAAAATGCAGATTTTATTAGATATATATGCATTAATAAACATTAATTTGTAACACATGCTTCGTGGATAATAAAATTATCTACATTGTTAACAATATTGAGCAATATATACAATATTATGTATTTTTATAAGGTTATAAATGTTTATTTCATATGTTATGGTTATTATTATTTATTTATATTTATTTTATATTTATTTTATATTATTTTATTTATTTATTAAACTTTTCAATTTCTTTAATTCCTTTCTATAATTAAAAAAATTTATTAATAAAATAAAAATTATCAATTATTAATAAAATATTACTATAAAAATATTTAATAATAATAAAATATATTATTATTATTATCATATATATATACTTACTGATGCAAGTATTCCCATAAAAGATCTACTAACATATTCTGCAAAAATATTAATCTCATTAATTGCTTTACCAAATGTAGCAATATCTTGTAATCTTCTATCTAAAAATTGTAAAGTGCCACTGTAATCTGGGGAAATATCTTGACACATATATAATTCTATAGTATTTAAATATATTGTACTATTAATAATCTTTTGAATATATATATATATATATTAATTTAATTTATAAACTATTGAAAAAATATAAATTTTAAAGAATACCGGTAGAAGAATAAATGATGGCAAGATTTCCTCTTTTAGTATACCAATTCATCTATCATATAGTAATAATATAATAATAATAATAAATATAAAACCAATTTAAATTATAAAAAGTATAATATCAAAAATTTCAAAAAATAAAAAATAAAATAAAAAAATGAAAATTACATCTGAACTTTTATCACCAGCCAAATACCACATATCATCAACCAATTTTGCAAGATGCTTAAATGACATTGGCACATACTTTGGTTCTGCCATTAATGCAAGTGCCTACAAAATATACAAAATAATTATTATTATGTATTATTTTCATACATTTCTTTATATCCCTTCAGATAATAAATATTGATAATATTCAACCTCTGGCCATTTTTTAATATAAGGTTTAGTAAAATTTAATCTGGTTTCACATGTCAATCTAATCTTCTGTGGTACCCTTAATCTAATAAACAAAAAAATCCATTCAATCAAATTCAAATATTTCTCATAAAAAGACAAGATAAAAGAGATTAATTATTTTACCCATTCATTTTATTATTCAATTCTGATACCATCTTCCTCCTGGAATCTTCTAAAAAATAATCAATTAAATCTATACCACCTCTAGGAAATAAACCATGACTAACAGAAGGAAATCCAAGTGAATTTGCTCCATGTGATAATGATTCAATTGACCATCCATATTTTGGTACAAATTGTAATGAGGCTTGAAGTATTTTTGAAGGAATTGATGTTGGAGGTGATGTTTGTGATGGTGATGAAGTAGTACTTGTTTGATCACTTGTTTGTTTGAGTACTTGTTTTGAGCATTTGTTTTTTTTTTAAAAAAATTGAAATCAATTAACAAGTAAATAATATTAAGTATTTTTTATACTTTATAATTTACCGTGGAATTTTGACACCTTCACCTGATGTTTTTGAGCGATTGATACTTTCATCCGGTGCTTTTGTACTAAAATTTCTACCATGATAAAGTGCGTAGGCACCTTTTTCGTTAAGAATACGTCTGTTACTAATTGTCAAAAATTTTGGTTTTATGATATCTCCTCTATAAAAACATTGAATAATTTGTTTCTTCCTTGTATAAGTAATTGCAATTTGTCGTGAATAATTTGACATAATGTTTTGAGTCATTTTTTTTATTTTATTTTTTAAAAATGTAAAAAAAAGAAAGGTGGAAAATATGCTAACCAAGGAATTGGTCGGTTACAACTTTCCTTATCTGAGCCACAAATAACATATTTGGAAATTTAATCGAAAATCAAATCAATTTTTTTTTTTTTTTGCGTTCACAATATAAAACGGACTTTATTATTATTATTAATCATAAAATTATTCTTCAAAACACTCATCATTTTCATTCCATTTGATTAAATCTAGATTAATTCCCATCTTTGTAAGCATATATTTCATTGTGTCTTTTTGTTCGGTGTCATCCCTTTCACATTCATTACCATCACAATATTCAAGCTCTTGATCTGATTCATTTTCTCTTTGCTTATATCTTTTATCATCTTCATTTGTATCTTCCCAACCCCAATTTTTATTTCCCCATGAATTTGAAAATCCTGCTTCATTAAGAAATGACGGTGATGATTGTTTGGGAAGCTTTGAAAATAGAAATTCTGCAGCTTCTTGACTAGCTTTTCGCCAGATTTTTACGAGTTTTTCATTATTAGCTTCTTCATCCTTTTTTTGTTACAGATTATTATTATTATTATTATTATTGTTATAAGTATTATGAGAGAGTTCTTTACCCAATACAAAAAAAATAATACCTTTTCTTGATATGTCAATAATAATTTCCTTTTCCGAATATTATCTTTAACATTCTCGATATCTTTTTCCAATTGTCGTTTTTGTTCGATCAATTCTTTAATTTCCGGATTCTGGAATGTTTGAACTAATGGAGATTTTAAACTTGGGGATTTAAAACTTGGAGATTTAAAACTTGGAGATTTAAAACTTGGAGATTTAAAACTTGATGATTTTTTTGATAATGATATAGGAGTTCTTTTTCCCAATGGGGAATGCAATGATTGAGCCACTGCAGTTGAATTTGGAGAAATTCCCGAAAATTTAGCACGAGTTTTATTTATTATAGAGGCCATTGATCGAGTTGTTGGAGTTGTTGGAGTTCTGCTGCCAAGGGAAATTTTTTTTGCCGCTGGTTCAGAAGTTGACGTTGACATCGATTCAAGCTTTTTATAGTATGTGTATATATATATATAAAGAATTCCATATTATTGTTGTATTCATTATACTGCGTTACTTGTTTTCTTTTTTTTTTTTTTTAAAAAAAAAAAACGCGCCAATTTCAAAATGAAAACATACATCCACTTCCTTAATGTCATTTTCAGCGGAAATATCATCAGAAGCGATCCAATAAATTGTTACTTCTTGCTTTTGATTATCAGATTGCGTTTTCATCGATTTTATTAGTCCTTTTTTAACTAATCGATCCAATAAGCTATGTACTTTTGTTCGCTTGGTGTTCTGTTTTTACGTAAAATTTACAATTATATAAAATTGAATTCCGTATTTATTATTATTATTATTTAAAAATATCTAATTATTTTTATACCGATTGTCTGTGCGGACCTAAACAGATATTCAAAAGTTCCTGTTGAGTCCAAATATAATAATCACATTTTGAAGCTGACGTGATGTTAAGAAGTTTATACAATGCTGTGGTTAATAATGTAGTAACTTCCATATTTATATAATTTATATTTGATGTAAAGCGTAAAAAAGAACAAGTCGCGTTTCTTTTATATTAAAACAACCAATCACGTGGGATCTGGAGCAACACTATTGGGTGAGTTGATCATTTGTTCCGAAATCTCTTAACCATAATGCTGTTGGATCAATTGAAAGCGGTTCTCGAAATACGTATAAAACGAGATCTCGATCGCAAACTAGTGGTAGCTTCTCCAAATACTGTTGACTTTTCCTCAAACGATTTTTTAGGCCTTTCTCGAAATTCTTTATTTCATAAAAAGTATATAGACCAATTATCGAAATTTCAACGACCACTAGGCTCGACTGGTTCACGTTTATTAGATGGAAATTCTGAATTTGCAGAAACATTAGACATATTTTTGTCTCAATTTCATAATGCTGAAACTGCATTGACCTTTACTTCAGGGTTTGATGCAAATGTTGGGTTTTTCAGTTGTGTTCCACAACCAGGTGATGCTATAATTTTTGACGAATTCATACATGCGAGTGTACATGATGGTCTAAAGGTTTCAAGAGCTGCATTGATTACTGGATTTAAACATAATGATATTGAACATCTTAAAGAAACTTTAATTAAAACTGTCGAAAAAGTCGGTCCAGAAAAGAATATATTGGTTGCAGTAGAAAGTTTATATTCTATGGATGGAGATTTTGCTCCACTTCGAGAAATTGTTGAAGTTCTGAAACCTTATAATGCATATTTGTTTGTCGATGAGGTAAAAATATACATATATATAGATATATATAGATATATATAGATACATATAGATACATATATAAATATTATATGATTAATTTCAAGTTTTTAAAATAGGCCCATGCAACTGGAGTATATGGAGATCAAGGTAGAGGAATTGTTTGTGAATTGGGTTTAGAACGACAAGTTTTTGCGCGTCTTCATACTTTTGGAAAAGCTTTAGGTTGTAACGGAGGTATTTAATTAAAAATATATTATATTTATTATATATTTGTAACAATCTTATTTGAAAACAAAGTTGACAATATTTTTTTTTTTATATCTTTGCAGCGGCAATACTTGGACCAAAGGTTTTAAGATCGTATTTAATCAATTATGCGAGACCATTAATATTCTCGACTTTTTTACCGTACAATAGCCTTCTAGCTATCAAATGTTCATATGAGATTATGTCTGGAGAAATTGGGGATCAAGTAAATATCTTTCTTTTTCCCCCTTTTTTTTTAAGTAATAATTGTAATGAAAAAATATAATTAATTAAAATTCTTTTATTATTAAAATTCTTTTATTATTAAAATATAGCTTAGAAAAAATTTAATGAAATTAATTCTTAAATTTCGTTCTAGCATCAATTTACCATCAGATGTATTATTACCTTCTACCAGCGCAATTCAAGGAATTATTGTTCCAGGTAATAAATTCTTGCATATGAATAATCAAATTAACTTTTTTTTTTTACGGTTGTCTCGATACACGTACATATATATATTCCTCTTACAAGTATTATCTTTAACATAGGCAACGAAAATGCTGTAAAATTAAGTCGCACAATTCAAAAGGCAGGTTATAATGTGAAACCTATAAGATCGCCTACTGTACCATTAGGTAAAGAACGTTTAAGAATCTGTATTCATGCTGATAATACTGAAGAAGAAATTCAAGGATTAGTGAATGAAATTGAAAATTATTTTAAATCCAATGGAAATATAACATATTACAAGGAAAATATTAAAAATGATAATAATTCATTTTCAGAAAAATCAACGAAACATATATTTAGGCATAATTCAAAGTTGTAACAATTTTCGCTTTTTTACTTCTTTTTTACTTCTTTTTGAATTACTTAGTAATTATAGACTATTGGAAAAGTGGACAAAATGCTGTATTATTTGTAGGTTAGATATTTAATATATTTAATTTTTGACTAATTATTTATTACTTTGTATTTTTATCAGCATTCTTTTATCTTATTCATTCATTATTATATTTATTTATTTATTTATTTTCTTGGTGAATAATAAAAATTTTGTTATCGTACAAATTAAAATAAATATTTTGTTGTTCCATTTCACCACGTGATCTTTTAACTCGGGTATAAGTTAATGAGGTTAACGGGACTAACCACACGTAGTTATTATTCGAATGGCGACAAACGAAACATCGACGAATGGACCTGCTGAATCACTTTCTTCAAGGCAAAACACATCAGATTTTGCTAACGATCCGCGCATGCATTTTATTGAGGCAATAGGAAAATGGACTTTTACAAGTGACGACGGCCTCACATGGGAATACGATGAAAAAAAACAAGAGTGGTGTCAAATGGTTAGTTTGAAATTTCTATTTAATACTTAACATACGTAGAATAACTATATAAATTAAGAATATTTAAGAATAATTTAAATAAATCTTTTCTGTATAGGATGAAGAATCATCCCTGAAAATTCAGCAATTAGCGTATTCAGTTCCGGGTGTAAACGAAAGCGTAAGATACTTTACCATGATGCAATCAAAAGAAAATTGTGGTCACTTCAAATGACAACACAAAACGACTTTTTTGTGCTTTTGTGTCCGCCTCCAAAGGAACCAGCTGCTCCAGTAGTCCGGACAAAACGAAAGAATGTATATACTACGAATGATAATGTATGTAATTCTTTATATCTTTTATATCTCCTTTTCTTTTTAATTTTTAATTTCATATTTTTTAATGTTAAGTTCAAATTTTGATTTTAAATTGAATTATATTGATTTAATTAATTTAATTGATTTTTAAATTTTTTATTATTTCTTAAAGGAAGATCAAAATAACAAAAAGCAAAAATCGAATAATTCGCAAAAGAAAAAGCCAAACACTTCTGTCTACGTTAGTGGATTGCTACCTAACGTCACTGTCGAAGAATTGGCAGAAGTATTCTCAAAATATGGTTTATTACTTGAAGACCTACAAACGGGTTAATAAAATCTTATTTCTTTACTTTGCTCCAAAAAGGATATTTTGTGATGAATATTTTCTAACAAATAATTTTATTTTTATTTTATCTTTTTTTTTAAAAAAAATAGGTGGTCCGAAAATAAAGCTTTACAAAGATGATCAAGATCGTCTCAAAGGCGACGCTTTAGTGACTTATTTGAAAGAGGAATCTGTGATTCTAGCTTGCCAATTATTGGATGACACAGATCTTCGACCAAATGAAGCATCTAAAATAAGAGTTCAAAAGGTGAAGAATAAAAATTTTATAGTAATAAATGAATAATGAACATATGAATAATGTATGAATAGCAATAGTTGATTATACTAATTATATCGATATTTCAGGCCCAATTCAAAGAGAAGGAACCCAAACCTGATGGGCAAAATGAACAAACCAATAGTGGAAAAGTTGATAAACGTAAAGCTCAAAAGAAATTGCAACAGCTTGAAAAGTAATTTAAATCAATAATCAAATAATTATTTTAAATTTTCGTTATTATTAATAAATAAATTAAATAAATAAATTCATAATCATAATATAATTCTTTAATAATACTACTCTTTTTTCTACTTCTCTACTTTTTTCTACTTCTTTCTACTTCTTTCTACTTCTCTACTTCTCTACTTTTCTCTACATCAGGAAATTGGATTGGTATGAATCAGAACCTGGTAAAAAGGCCGAAAGACATAATAAAATAGTGATATTAAAATACATGTTTACATTAGAAGAATTAGAGGTATATAAAATAATATTCTAAGAAAATAATGATATATTAATTATTATTATTCTTCTTCTTAATTAATTAATTTATTTTTGATAGAATGATGTTAGTATGATTCTTGATTTAAAACAAGATATTCGTGAGGAATGTGAAAAATTAGGTGAAGTTACGAATGTTATTCTTTATGATGTAAGTAAAAAGATTAAAAAGTTTAAAATCATTTAAAATTTGTAAAACATAGTTAATTATGATACGTGCATAAATTTTAGAAAGAACCCGAAGGTGTGGTATCGGTAAAATTCAAGGAAAAACTAAGTGCAGATGCATGCGTATTGGTAATTAATTCATGAAGTTTAAACTTAATAATTTTTAATTAAATTTTTAATTAATTACTTTTTCAATTTCATTATTTCAAAATTAGAAAATGAATGGTAGATTTTTTGCAGGTCGTCGAATTGAAGCACAAATTTTTGATGGTAAACGAAAATTCCAAAAAACTGGATCCAAATCCAACGAAACAGAAGAAGAAGAATCCAAACGATTGGAAAAATATGCCAAATGGTTGGAAAAAGGAGAAAAAGAGGAAAAAGAGGAAAAAGGGGAAAAAGGAGAAAAGAGAGAAAAAGGAGGTGATAGTAGACAAATTAACGTATAACGTTATTGGAAAAGCGCTTACGTTTTGAATACGAAGGCTTTTCAAATTTAAAAACATTCGAAAATTACAAATACATTTTTATTTTACTATATTTTATACTATATTTTACATGCTATACAAATTTTCCAGAAAAAATTCTTGAACAAATTTATTTAATTTGACTCGTTATTTTCGTAATTTCATCCTAATAATTGTTTCAATCGACTAATCTTGGATGTATTTTTAATAAAAAATTAAAAATAATTTCTGCTGCCTTATTTGTCATCACTGATCTTCGGTGACTTTTCAATTTCTTCACTTTGTCATTTTGTTACTTGATAATACGATCAACAATCACAAATCAAAACGTCGGTGAGGCACATTGAGAAAAGTTCGGACAAATTTTTTACATAATTTGATAATAACTAGGATATTCAATTACTACAGACAGGATTTTTATTGATTTTATTGATTTATTAGTAATAAAACTTGTGTTTATTATACCTCGTATTTATCCCTTAATATCGTAAATACTGTGTTTTTGGTTTGATTTATTTTAACCAGCCAGTCTTTTTGTTTTCCAGTTAATGTAATTGCATTTTTGTACGTTTAATTTAATAGAAACAATTGATTTTTTTTCTAGGACTTTCTATTATAAATAAATTTTCTTAAGGGGGATAATAATTGTACACGAGTTAATAATTGTAATAACACGAGTTAATGATAATAAACACGAGTAAACAATAACAAACACGAAGCTTTTAAAATTTTATTTGGAATAACAGAAAGATGGATCTTCAACAGATATAAAAAGGTGATGTGGTTTTTTCCTATTTCTTTCTCTTGCTTTTTTCTCCTATTCTCCTGTTCTTTGAGCTTTTATATTTTTAGAATCTTCATTTCATAAACAAATATTTTTAATTTCAATCTTCCTTATTGAAAATCCCAGAATGACGAAAATTTAAAAAGTAAAATAAATTTATAATCTCATGGAATAACAAATTGTGCAAATTGTGGGAGAAATGTAATCAAATAAATTATACATTTTATTAAAAGATTTAATAAAAATGAAAAGAGAAAGATCACTATCACCTTCTGATTTGTCAGAGACGATGTCACGAATTCCTTTCACGAATTATTTACAATTTAAATTATCCATTAATCGTAATCCATGCGCACAGGCAGACTCGACTTTACATTTAACCAAATGAAACGAGATATATTATCATTGTCGACATTGTCAAGATGCGTGATGTATTCGTCGGTCTCAAGATTTGAAACCTTGTTGGATACTTTGATATTATATTATGCCCTATTTTTCTTTTGCCCTGTTCTTTAACATTACACATATATCTTTGAAATATTCCTTCTGATTCTACATGTTTACATAAGTTTACATAACATTAAGAAAAATTAAATTAATATTTTTCATTTAACTTTTGATTTATAGACATCATAGCATGATGTTCTCATACATTCAATTCGAGCGCACGTAATGATTCTCTCATACTATATTATGAGAACATTTTATTTTCTAAAATTTTATTATTAAAATTATTTATAATTTTTTTCTTATCATTCGATGAAAGAATAAGGGGGAAATATTATAAATAGTTCAACTTTAATTTACCAAAATTTACCTAAAAAACAACTATGATTTCACTTCATTTTGGAATAAGAAAAATCAAAATTCTTCATAGTTAATATTACTTCTAATGATCAAACAAATCTTTCAGTATAATTATTAATTGGACTTATTAATTACGAGAAGCTTCTTTGATCTCCTTGAACCAAGAGATCGAAACGACAGCATCCTTCATACAATAGGCTAACACAGAACGTTCACGAGATGCAATAAATTTAAAAAATATTGGGAAAGCATTCTTAAAGAAAGAGAGAGAGTTAGTAAGTAAATCTGCTTAATTTGTCAGATAAATTTGTTGCCGGCGAGAGTTGGAATAATAATCAAAATATTCTAAAGCACCAAAACACTTCCTACACATTTTTTTGTATTTTGGTTTTATGTACGAATGAATTTCACCAAAATATTGAAAAATAAACATTTCATTTAATCTAGTCAGGCCAAATTCTCAAATAACCAATAACATTTGTGGTGGAAAGTCAAATTGATGATTTTGTCCTAACTTATAATCAGAATAAATTACTCATCATCAAGTGCAAAAAAAAAAAGATAAAACGATTTATTATATGACGAATTTAGATACCTATTTTTTAAAATACACACCTTTCATCTTCGAAATTCTTTACAAATTTATTATTTAGGAATCCAAATCCTACTCATCCATACTAATAACCTCAAACACAAGCTCAACAAGCTCAACAAGCTCAATTAAATCCACAAGCTCAATTAACTCCGCGAATACAAAAGAAAGTGATAAGGATGAAAAAAACCTACAACTTAATGGTCACCTTTAATAATCACATTTATTATTTATATTATATTATATTACCATATGTAATAGTTAATAATCTTCACATTATTCAGATTTGTTAGATGTGATATAGTTTTATAATGGTCAAGGTTTTTTTAAAAAAGAACAAATAATGTTATATAATCGGAAATTAATGTCATTTAAGCAATTTTAAAGATCTATTCAAACGAATTATTTAATCAAAGATGCATTAAAATATTAAAGGTACATTTAAATACTAAAGGTACATAAATATATTAAAGATAAATTAAATATTAAATATTAAAGGTATATTAAAATGTATATTAAAGTATAATTATTAGTTGAAAATAAAACCTCACACACACAATAGTAAAGAATCTTTCTCATTCATCAAAAATAATAAAATAATGAAAAACTATAAGTCCGCCGAGGAACTTGGCGCCGCAGTATCTAAGACATCCTTATAATATTAATATTCGTAATATTCAACATTATCGATTATATCGATTATTATATAATATATTATTTACTTGGTGTATTTTATACAGTAAAATATCAATATCAGATATTAGTAATATTATTATCTTCCATTATTTTCCGATCAAGATAGAAAAACCTGTTTTCTCTTTTTTTCATAGTATTTTCGTGTCACTCTTAATAATAATAAAAAATTAATAATATAATATTTATAATATTTATGCTAATAATAATAATAATAAATAAATAACAGATAATAATATACAGTATATGCGAGTATTAATAAAAAAAATTATTAATACAATATACAATAGATGTAATGTCAGTATATTTATTTATTGCTAATAATAAAAATAATAAAAACAATAAAAATAATAAAAATAATAAAATATAATAATAGATAAAGAAACAACAAAAAAAAAAAATTCATTCCCCCCTTTCCCCTTTTCACCCCTCATTTTTCCTTAGCTACACATATTTCCCGCATTTTCCATATTTCCCGCATTTTCCACATTTCCACATTTCTCATATTTCTCATATTCCACATTTGAAATTTTTTTTTTAAAAAAAAAAAATTGAACACAGTATTTATTTGTAATAATATATCATTATTACTATTATTACTGATAATTACTGCTGATAATTAATTACTACCGATAATTATTACTCTTTTAGTAAATTAATAATATTTTAAAATCCAAAAAAAAAACTAAAATTTGAAAAAAAAACTTTATTAACTTTATTAAATTTTTATCCAAAATGTCACCAATAACACGTAGTATAACCAGTCTTCATCGTATTTGTAATCCAAATTTTCCTACATATCGAGATTTAGATGATGCTTATAATTTCTCCGTTCCATTTATCGAAGATGATGCAAAAAAATATTTACAAAGAATCTTGGATACCGATGAAATGCGTGAACTTTACAATCCGATATCGGAAGAATATTGGATCGTTAATAATGTTGATGCTCTTAATCAAGTGGTTTATTATAAAATGAAAAGAAGTTTATTTAGAAAATATAAACAACAATTTATTAATGCCGGAATTGAATTAGAATTCTTAAAATGTCAAAAGAGTGAAATTGGTTGTGGTAAGGTTGGTTGTGATAATATTAATTGTGATGGTGATAAATTATCTGATGATGATTTTGATGATAATAGAAATGATTTAGATATATTTTGTTCAAATTATATCAGTAAGCAAAATTCTACTGTTTCAAATTTATCAAATTTATCAAGTTTTTATTATGATTCATCAGATGATACCAACAATCATAATAATCTTAATAATCTCTACAGTAAAAATAATAATCACAATGATAATCTCTACAGTCACAATAATAATCCCTACAGTCACAATAGTCTCTACAGTCACAATAATCACAACAGTCACAATAATAATAATCACTACAGAGAGATTAAAATTCGTGTTAAAAAGGATGAATCTTCCCAAACAGTTTTGGGTGATTACGTAGAACGTCCACACCGTCGACATTTACAATATTCACAATATTCACAATATCCAAATTATTCAAATCATCTGAATCGTCAAAATAATTCAACCCGATTTATTAAATATCAATTCTTTATAAATTTATTTCATAAATTATCCAAGGAAAAAAAATTTTATTATTTTTTAATAATTTCATTAGCAATAATTTTCTTTGGTTACCTTTTAAGTTATAAGAATAATGATAATTCTAATATCAAAATAGGAAATAATAATAATTATAATAATAATAGTAAATTTAGTAATGATCATATTATTAATAATAATAATATTAGTAGTAGTAGTAGTAGCAGTAGTAGTAGTAATAGTAAGAGTGATGATGATGGTGATAAACGACAACAACAACAACAACAACAACAGCAACAACAGAAAATTTATAAAGTTTTGGATAATGGAAAATTAGATGGAGCGGTAAAATCTCAAGTTAAAGAATTTATTGAAAGTGAAATGTCAAGAATTGCTGCTGGCGATATTTCTTCTAATCAAAATTATTTAAGTAATTCGATTGATGAAAAGAATGGATTAGCAGGATTAGTAAGGAAACAATTAAACGAGGTAAATAATTAAATAATTAATATAATTAATATAATTAATATAATTAATATAATTAATATAATTAATATAATTAATATAATTAATATAATTAATATAATTAATATTTAATATTTAATTAATATTTTTAATTAATTAATTTATTAATATAATTTTACAGGTTCTTCATGACCAACTTTCTAAAATGATGGATGGAATTAGTACGGATTATGCACTTTATTCTGGAGGTGCACGTATAATTCCTCATATAACTTCACGCGGTTATGAAGAATGGCCAAGTAAAGGATATCAAAAATTATGGGGAATGTTGACTCATCGAAATGTGATAAAATCAAATAATGCTGAAGTAGTTATATCACCTAATGTTAATGTAGGTGAATGTTGGTGTTTTAATGCTACTCGAGGTCAAATTGCCATAAGATTATCTCGAAGCATTGTAATCACTCATATCACTTATACTCACATTGGAAAAGAAGTTGCTATTGATCCAATAAGTAGTGCTCCTAAAGAATTTGAATTATGGGGATTAATTGATAGTGAAGATGATAATAATAATATATCTTATAATAGAGATAAAAATGACAATATATATATAGATGACAATAATAATAATAATAATAACAATAACAACAACAACAACAATAATAATAATAATAATAAGGAAGAATCAAAAAAATCTAAAAGACATGAATTTGAATATTTAAAAGATTTCAATTTATTCTTGGGTAAATATGAATATGATTTAGAAAAAAGACCAACTCAATCATTTCAAATACCCGAAAATCATCGTATAAGAGCAATTTTGATGAAAATATTAAATAATCATGAAAACCCTAAATTTACTTGTTTATATAGATTACAAGTTCATGGAGATTTACCTTTGTAAATATTTTTATATTTTTTCATATATCATATTTTTTTTTAATTTTTTAAAATTTTTAAATTTTTTACATTTTGGGATTTAGGAAATGAATATTTATTATAAATTTGTTATATTTTTTGTTATATTTTCGTTCTTTGTTAAATAAATAAATTTATTTTATCAAATACAATTTTCAAAATAAATAAATAAAAAAAAAAAAAAATTAATTTTTTATAATCTATCTCGAAATTTCTTTTGATTAAAAAATGAAAACCTCTCTTTTTTAATATTGTATATCCATATCCATATCTGTTATGATCTCTCCACGAGCAACCGAATGAATCAATTCACGACGAATTTCAGGTGTAATAAGTTCATGTGTTTTAGCCTTAAGTACTTCAAAAAGAACTTCCTTTTGTTCTGGTGTTAAATCTTGTTTATATCTTTAAAGTTTGTAAAAATGATATCATTTGTTACCAAATAATGTTAAATAGAACAAAAAAAATATTTATATTTATTTTTTACCTTTGTGCAAATACCAAAAATGATTGATGCCATAATACCGGCATGACTCTTTCATCATTTTTAAATCGAAGAAAGTGAAAAACCAATGCGTCCACTACTTTATATGGTAATGCATATTTTTTATCGAGTAATATACGAATAAATAAACTATTGGGTCCCGTGTAATCCATTTCAGCGAGAAATAATAATGCTGCTGATGAGTGAAGCATCGGAATGCTTACTTTTGAAATAACGCTACCAACAATAGCTGCCTCTTTTAATGTGCACGTACCAGACTAAATATTAAATATTAAATAATAATAACAATAATAATAATAATAATAATAATAATAATGGTAATGGTAATGATAATGATAATGATAATTATAATGTTATTACATATGTCATAAATTATAAATATAAATAAAAATATTTTGTTTCTATCATTTTATAATATTTTTCGCTTGCCTCACATAAGGGAAATAAAATTCCTTTGAAAAATGCCGCGGGTTTAAATAATGCTTTCTTAAGTGCCATGTAAAGATGATAATTAAGTTTTTTATTTTCTTGTATGTCTTCTCGAACTTTTTCATATAAAACTAAATCAAAGAATCTATTATAATAATTTAATTATAAATTAATTAATTAATCAATTAATTATATTTAATGAATAGAATTAATGAATTGAATATAATTATAATAATAGAATTATTCATTTACCTTTGAACTTGTTTATTCTTGAAATTTGAAACAAAAATACGTGTCGCTTGAAAAGTTGCATTCGGCGTCCATTTATCCGGACGCGTGTAATATAATATTTCTTCCCAATTAGGTAACGTGGGAATAATTTTAAATGCTTTAGGAAGTTTTCCTGACTTATATCGACTTAATAATAATCCCACTCTAATAAATAATATATTAGAAAATTTATAAATTCTAAAATTAAAATTCTTAAAAATCATAAAGAAATTATTGACATACTTTGAATAGACTTCAACAATTTTTGGATTCATTATTGGCGATTCAAGTTTTTCTTTTTGATAAATAATTGTTAATATTATTACTTCTATCATTATTTCTATTTCTATCATTATTTCTATTTCTATCATTATTTCTATTAATAAAAATTCGAACCTGTTGATGTTGATTTGTCTAAATTCTGTGATTCAATCTTTTTCATAATAATATCTGCAAGTGTCTTCTTCTTCTTTTGAGTACTCGGTAAAAATTTATTGAGAACTTCTTGATCCTCTTGATCAATTTCCTTTATTCATAATTTAATAAATTAAATTAATATAAATTTTTGAAGTCTCAAAATAAAATAAAAAAAACAAATTTATAAAAGAAATTAAAGAAATACGAACTAATTCTTCATAATCGTATTCATTCTCATCACCTGAGGCAGAATAATCTTGATCACTTTCATCATCATCGTTGATTATAGAGGAAAATGTTACATTTCGACTTTTCGATCTAATTTAAAAGAATTTTAAATTGAATTTTTTATAATTTTTTATCCGGACTTTAATTTTGTTATTATGATTATTATTATGATTATATTATAAACTAACTTTTTTTTCATTTTTTTCATTTTTTCTTCATATTCTTGATTTTCTGCCTCAAGTTCTTCCTGTTGCTCTTTAGCAATTTCAAGGATTTTTCGTGAAAGACTTGGATCAACAAATTCCTAATTATATATAAAAATTAAAAAATTTTTTTTTTTAAAAAAAAAAATTCGAAAAAATAAAACGCTAGTACATACATCCTCTTTATCGTTTCGTAAGTTACGTTCATTAAATTTTGTTCTTGTATGCTTCTTATTGACTGTATTATCATCCTCGGTTAACTGAACAGAAAGAGGATTGTGTCGCTCTTTTTTCTGTTCTGTAAAACGTTTTTTTTTTTCTTTTCCCATTTTCAAGAAATACAAAAAAATTAAAAAATTTCATAAATCGAAATTTTCATCACTGACATCATATGATTGGATGATACTAGGTATTTTTATTTTTAATTTTCACCAGTTATAGTAAAAACGGAATTTTTTTTTACTGTAAAAATAAAATGTCTGACGAAACAACTTCAACAACTCCACCTAAAAAAAGTCGTTCTACAAGTGATGCAGAACGTCGTCGCGCAAGAAGAGCTCAGAAAATTTTGAGTTCTGCGGACAGTAGATTACATCGAATCACTGCTACATATTCTTTAAGTGCTAACGCTTCCCCTGTAACCAGTAAAAAATCTTCACCTCAACAAAGTCAAAAGTCTTCTCCAACAACTTCCGAAGCTCCAGATAGTCCATTTTCAACTAGGAGAAATACAGGAAATCTTGGTATTGTGTTGTTTAGTCATTTAATATATATTTTTTTAACATTATAAAAATCTATATAAATACAAAGAAGTAAATAATTATATTATATTAATCGGATCTTATCTATACATTAGAACCTTTACCCGAATCTTTACTTCCAATCACGGAATCGCTACCCCCTTCAACTGATATATCAGGGTCGTCTCCTTGTATAAGGATTAGTGAACATCCACCAGATCAAATCAATGGGGAATCAACATTAGTTACGCGAGAAAGCCAAGATTATCATCCACCAGTAACAACAACAACAACAACAACGACAACAAAAATAACACCATCACCAAATCCACTTACATCTTCGGAACCTACTTTTAATACTGAAGTTTCATCATCATCAACTTTACTTGGTGAAGATAACAACACAATTCAACCTGATGAAGATTATTTTCGAAGAGTTTTAGAAAACTTTCGTACAAAAAATAGTAGTAATACATCAATAGCATCAACTAGTACTAGTGAATATCAATATTATTCATCACCTGGTGGACTTTCTCCATTTCTTACACCTGAAGATTTAGCAGTACAAGAAGAATTATTTCGACAAGCATTAGAACAACAACGACAACAACAACAACCACAAGATGAATCTTCAAATTTTCTTTCACCATCATCAATATTTTTTGATTCTTCTTCTTCTCCACCATCATCACCATCATCTGTTAATGGACATCAAATAATTTTACAATCTAAATTATGGCAATTGATTCATTTTTCATTAATGATTTTATTGGCATTGAGTGTAATTTTAAGTGAACTTTTAAGAGAAAAAGGTTCTTGGACTCGATTCTCATATCTGAAATATTCAAATCCTAATGATTTAATTGAAACTGAGAAAGTGCAAAGTGTGGTAATTGTGTATAGATATATATATATATATTTTTATTATTAAATACAAATTAAAATATTTTTATTTTTATTTTTTTTATAAAATAAAATATTTTCTTTCTTTCCTTGAATAGCCTTTATTCTGGTATTTTATAACTATTGAACTTATACTTCAATCTTCACGTTTGTTTTTACAAAAAGTAAGTATATATTTATTTTTTTTAATTAATTTATTTTTTTTAATTAATTAATTTTTTTTTTTTTTTTTTTTTTTTTTTTTTTTTTTTTAAAAAAATATATATATATATTCAAATTTTTAAATTTTTTTTTAAAGGAAAAATCGTTTCAAGGATCCGTCCTAGGGAATTTAGCTGCCAGGTTACCATCACCATTTTCGGATGTACTCGTAGTTTTTTTAAGATATAATTTAATTTGGAAATGTCTTTTGGAAGATGCTTGTGTTTTGGTTTTTATTATTGGATCTACTATAATGATTTCTCCAATAATATCATATCTTTTTCATTAGTTCAAGGTTTCAAAAAACCAAAAAGTGATATTCATTCCGTTTTCTTCTGACATTGGTTCATATATATATATGCATATGTAATAACTTTTGATTACCATTGAAAAAAAAACTTGAGGGTTATTTATTTTAGAAGGAAGGAAATTATTAAATATTATTTATATATATTTCAATTAATTTATATATATAAACTTTGTAACATGATCTAGCCAATTAATATTTGACATTTCAATCTAGTCCCCCCAAAATATTTCATAAAAATTTGTATTTTTTTTTTTGACATTAATTTTATAATAATAATTTATTTTACAAAATTAATAATAACTGTTAAATATATATGTATGTATACATATGTTATTAAAAGAAAAATACTGAAAAAATTGTATTTACAATAATGAAAAATATTTATAACTTTTTTATAATTTTTTTTTTCTGATACGTATTTTATGGAATTTTTATGAATTTTTTTTTTTTAAAATACTTGTGTACTGTATATATATATATAATTTATAATAAAATATAAATAATATATTTAATGTATTTAAAATAATCGAAATTAATCAACGTCATAAATAATGTAAAAAATTAACAAGTTAAATAATTGAAATAATTTGAAATAAATAATTAATAGTCCATTAAATAATCATCTAAGAAGAATATGAGAAAAAGAAAAAAATATCATATTTCAAAATGTTCAACTTCCTCCTTAATTTTCTCAATTTCCTAATAATTTTAAGCACCTTTTTTTTCTAATACTTTTCAATATTATTTTCAACAATATTTTTTTCAATATTATTTTCAACAATATTTTTTTCAATATTATTTTTTCAATATCAATTTTTCATTATCATTATCATTATCATTATCATTATCATTATCATTATTATTATTAATTATTATTATTATTAATTATTTCAAACTTCCAATTCATCACAAATCCGAGCTAACCAACAAAAATATAATACCGAAGTGATAACCACTTCAAACCTAACAGCTTTTAAACACTCCAATTCCCATTTAACTAATTTATATTTTGAAATATTTAATTTCTCCGACCATTTATATACGGGAATTGGTATTACATCAAAGGCACCTTTTATCGAAAGTAAAAAGCAAGTAATAAATTTTTCAAATGAAGAAATTTTGATATTTGTACTTTCTTTTTTACCACCATTTCTGCTACTACTATCACCTCTAATATCACTTTTACTATCACCTTTAATACTAATATTATTATTATTATTACTACTACTACTACTACTACTTTCATTTTGAGGATAATAATAATTTTGATAATGAGAATTATTCATACCATAATAAGTTGAATATAAAATTGATGATGTTGATGATGATGATGATGTTGTTGTTACAGTTGTTGTTGTTGTTGAAGGGGGAATAAATTTAGATGTATTGGTTGTTATATTATTTATAACACTATTACTATTTAATAAAGATTCGTTAATAGTTATTGTTGTAGATGAATTAGTTTTCCATTCACTAAATAATCGAAATGCATTAAGTAAACACGTTTGACATTGTTCTATTGTAATATGTTCCTGTAAACAAATTGAAATAATTGTATGTATCCTGGAAAATGTTGATTGAGGAAGTCCAAATAATATTATAGTGGTTGTAGTAAGTTTCTCCGTAGATGAAACGAGAGGATCACTTGAATGTTTAATACAATAATTTACTATGGAATTTTCTAATATTTGTATGGCAGTAATTAAATTACGAAATTTATTATGATTTTGACGTTCTTCCATGGTAATTTGAAATGACATAGGAAAAGGATCTTTTGATAAGTCAGGTTTAATTGAATCAGAATTTAAAGTAAGATGAGTTGCTGCTTTTGTATTTGTTATTTTTGTATTTATTGTTGGGTTTGTTGTTAAATTTGCTTTTTTTGTATTTACTGTTATTGTGTTTACTGTTTTTGTATTTGCTTTTGTATTTGTCGTGGAATTTACTGTTGTACTCTTACCTTTTGTATTTGTTAAAGAATGTTTTTGATAAGAATTTAGTGGTATTAAATTACTAATTTCAAATATATAAATAAAATAAAATAAAAATAGGTTAATTAAATTAAAATTTAATAAAATTATATTTAAAATAATATAAAAAAATGATCACCTCTTCTCTTTAACATTTAAACCAAGAGTAAGTTCTACTCCTTGTTCAATATCAACTGATGCAAAAATTCCAACTCGATATAATGAATTCTCATTATTGTTTCTACTATTAATTCGATCATCTTTAGTTATTTGAATATAACAATTTGGTTTATCACATCTGTGAATAAATGGTGCAAATATATTTCCATTCAATGTACTCATTGTGTTGTTACGGTGATTCTAATGAAAAAAAAAAATAAATAAAAAATATAAATAAAAATATAAATAAAAAATAAATTAAAAAAATAATGACAATTAAAAATAAATAAATAAAAACAATTAAAAATAAATAATGACAATTAAAAATAATGAATACCTCCATAAAACAATTATAATAAATATTCAAATCACTATATTCATGTTTTAAATGAAGAAAATTTTCCGTCATGGCTTTGTCTCCAATATGTTGTAATATGAATTCATCCCTACAAAAAATAATTTTTTTCAATATTTGATTCATCTAATCCTTATTTTTTTTTTTCTAATTTAATTCATTTTGTAAAATATAAATAATTTAAATAATTTAAATAATTTCAAAATATGATATAAAAAAAAAATTATTTGCTTTGAGCATACTTTTTAAATCTTCTCATGGTCATCACAGAAAATTCGGTTTGTGTAAATTTCAATAAGTAAACCGGATGAGAGTCCAATTTATTATTTTTATGAGTTTTAGATTCAAATGCTTTACGATGATTATTATTATTATGATGATTATGATTATTATTATTATTATTATTATTATTATTATTATTATTATTATTATTATTATTATTATTATTATTATTATTATTATGCCAGGACATTGTGTTTGTTAAATCGATCTTTGTTGCCTTTGTTGTCTTTGTTGTTGATGATGGTGTTGTATTTGATGAATTTGATGAATTTGATGCATTAAATGTGGGTTTCGTTATAAAGTCATTGTTTGTAAACTCGGTATTTTTCTTTACAAAATTCTTTGATAAATTCTTTGGTTGAACTTCCGAAGACATCAGTGAATCCAGCACTTTACCATTAAAGAATAACTTATTATTATTATTATTATTATATTTTTGTTGTGAATAATTTATTGGATATTGATTATTATTATTAGACGTAGATAGATTAGTTTGAGAAGTTACTGTATTCTTTTGAATAACCATTTTGTAAAAAGAAAGGATATTTGATATTTAAATTTAAATGAATAATAATAATAATAAAAAATAATTTGTTTTGGTGACAAACAACTTTTTTTGTTGTTAATGTTCAAATTGTTTAAAAATGTTTATTGATAGAAAAACAGAAAAACCGCAGCGTCACATATAACATATATTTATAGATATAACTTGGACTAGGTTTATCACTTGAACTAGGTCAAGGATAAAATAAAATAAAGGCAAAGGAGAGAAAAAAATTAAATAATTTTTTAATAAAACAACAAAAAGTTTTGGAAAAGAAAGGATTACATAACAAAATTATTTTTGTAAATTAGAGAAAACGTTTTCTTTTTTTTTTTTAAGAAAAAAAAAACCACTTGTTATCCGTTACATTTTATACACATTTAATATAACATTTAATATAGCATTTTATATGCGATGTATACACACAGCCTAACAAATATATTTAATACCACACCACCAGCCCCATTTTACCTGAAAGCATTCAACTATTTAAATTATTTTATAATTATTTTAATTATTTAAATTATTATTATTTTAATTATTTAAATTATTCAAAAAAAAATATATATATATATTTATTAAAGAATTTCAAATGGGAAGTTTATCATATCATTATTTATTTATTTTTACCATTTGCGCGTTCTTGAAATCTAATTAATTTATATCTTTTCATTATTTATAACATAATGAGGACATTATTTGTCTACTCATGCGATTTAATGCATACTTTATATAGTAAAGATATATATTATTTTTTATTTTATTTTTATTTATTTATTTATAAGCATATCTTACTAAACTTTTAACAAATAAGTAGTTTGATCATATGACTTGTCAGCTGTTTATCAAAATGAATGTTTTTAATTTAGCTTGTTTAACTTATACTTTACATATATACTAATCTTATATTAATTTATACTAAATCTTTATTTTTTTTTTAAAAAAAATATAAAAATGAGGCGTTTAAAGAAGTATGATAGGTGACGAAACTAGGACAAATATTTGTACTTCAATATTAATTAAAAAAGAAAATGTATTAAAAAAGTACACTAAATAAAGCTATAAAAGTTTGTGTTTGAGAACCTTTTCAAAAAAAAAAATGTGTCAGGAAACTTGGGATGCTACAAGAATAATAGAATAATAATACTACATATTACTGTATGATTTATTGTTTTATTTTTTAATTTGTTATTTATAATGTACTTGATCTTTTTTTTTTTTTCTTTTTTTTTTGGAACTTTTTTTGGAACATTTTTTATGTAAAAGTTAAACGAACAAGTACTTCCACAACATTCAATGGCATATTTATAGAACTCATTAAACATTTTTTAATTTAAAACTTACAACGTATTTTTAATATATCATTTTTCCTCTTTACATGTGACAATATGCATACTTTGAAAAATGTAATTTTATGTATATCGCGTAGTTTCGGTAGTTACGTGCTTGCTTCGGGCATTTAGTAATACAAAAAATTTTATCTCTATCTTTGTTTATGGTAAACCAAAAAAAGTGTCAAAAATATAAATTTAAACTTTTGATAACTTTATTAATGCAAAAAATATACAACAATACATGAATGTTTCATTGAAACGTTTCGTAATGTCATATATAAATGAATATGAATATATGATATTATTATACAATCGTTTGATATTTCATTACATAATGAAAAGGAGCTAATCTCGTGATTTTCTAATTTTCTACAAAACTACTTAAAATACTCTTTAATTGGTAAAATGAAAAAATAATGAAAAAAAATGAATATGCAGATATGAAATGTGTATATATATAAAAGTGTGTGTATGTGTTTGTTTATGTATTTGATATATATATATATGTATGTATGTATATGTATGTATATATATGTGAGTGAAAAAAGCTAAACGTAATAAATTTGTCCGGTTTAATCGATTTATTAATTTCTAAGATTTTTAACCACATCTACCACTTCTCTTAACATTTTCAAACTTCTTTTATCTCCTAATAATGAAGTATGAAAAGCATTCATAACATATCCGAATCCAATTTTTAATTCTTCATTCCACAAGAATAAACTTCCTCCTGATCCACCCCATCCCATAAATTCAACATCTTCTAATCCTTCCAATCGAAAACATCCAAATCCTCCAATAGTTGATGTTATATTTTCATGTAAAGCAACATCATATTCAGTAGGTAGACGGGTTGTGATCAATGAATAAGTTTTAGTTGAAATTAATGTTGGTTCTAAAAATGTATAATTTTTTGATTTGAAATCATCCAGTGATTTTCCTTGATTTGCCATCATAGCTGCTAATTTTGCAATACTTTTACTATTAGTAATTCCATTATAACTTGGTCCTTCATAACGTACCATCTCCGATTTATTCCAATCTTGAGGTTCACTTTTATCGGGTGATGTCTCAATAAAAGTTTTATATCCGACACTACCTTGTTCCATCATTCCATCAAACACGGCATGTAATGGTTCGGAAATCATCCATTTGGGTAATAAAACTTTGGCTAATATTCTTACCAAAGGATAAGTATAAATATTTGCTACTCTAGAATATAATGATTTAGAATTTATAGAGTGATAAAATTCGATGTTATATTCAGGAGAAATTTCTTCTGCTACTATACGACCAATGGTACGATGTCGTGGATCAACACGGCGAACTATTTCATTAAGGTACCAACCGCGAGTAACAGCATGATAAGATTTCTTAGGGATACCATTAAAATTATGAGGTTGAGCGGAAAGGATACCGGAAAGTGAATCAAGATCTGCGAGATCATTTTGAGACATTTGGTGTGGACTAATAAAACCTACACCAGCAGTGTGAGTCATTAAATTTTGTAAAGTAACGTTCTCTTTATTTCCTTGTGCAAATTCTGGCCAGTATTTGGAAATTTTGGAGGAGTAATCAAGAAGACCTTGTTCTACTAATCGTGCAATTACTATTCCCGACTATTAATTTTTTTTTGAAAGTTAATTTTTTTAAAGTTAATTATTTGAAGTTTATTATTATTTTATTTAATTTATAAAAATTCAATTTTCACTTTTTTTATCAACTTACCAAAACTTTAGAAGACGAGAATACAAGTTGTAAAGTATCTTCATCATAAATCTTTCCGGTCGAATCAGCAATTCCACCTTGTAAATCCACCACTAATTTATTATCATAATAAACACTAACGCCTGCACCAATATCTAATCCATTCTTAAAATTATTTTCAAATATTGTTTGAACTCCACTAAATTCAGGTGAGGTAAATCCATTGATTTTTGTATTTGGACATCCCAAGCCTATCACTTGACAGGAGAAAGGTAGGAATGGACCGGCAATGGAGTAACGATATATGATGAAAGTAAGGAATAATTGAGAAATTATGAAGAAAAGTTTACGATTCTTACGTCTTTTTAGTAATGATGATAGAATGGTGGAAATGTAAGAGAAAAACGTAGAAAGGTAAAATTTAGGAGTTGGAGGGATTTGAGAGATTATAGTGGAAAATACATATGAGATAAATGAGGAAATATTTGATATATTTGATAATAAAGAATGAGGAATCCAAGATTTTGGAAAATAAGTTGAGAATGAAGAATAGATTCTGGATTCAGATGGTGGTGATATATAAGGATATTTTGAGGTAATTGGAAGTAAAGGGAATTTTTCATCCTTCGAGTCATTAGATTTGGCGCGTGAAATATTGGGTTCATTCATTTCCATATCTACCATTTTTTTTTATATAAATTTAATATTAAAGTTATAAATTATATATAATAAATTTAATAAAAAAAATTGATATATTTATTAAAAAATAAATTTTAGGAATTGTAAAAGAAATGTATGCCAATATGGTATCTAAAAATTTATATTACAAAACATGAAAATTATATAATAGGAATTATATAATAAAAATTAATAAATACAATGTATATATGGATACAAAGGAAGGAAAGTGATTTGAAGGGGGAAAGATGAAGCAAAGATGAAAATGAAGATGAAGTTAAAGGATGAGAAAAATATCTGTTGTATTTATCTGAAAAAAAAAGACTAAATTGTGTCTTTATGGATAACCTAAAAACAATTTCACCAACGGATACATTAGAATTTCCGTCTTTGTTCTTGAAAAATTCCTTGATTAAGTAATTTTAATAAATTTTGATAAATTTTAATAAGTTTATTTTTTTCTCATTTTTTTTGTCTTTGTTCTTGTGAAGTTTAAATAACAATGATTTTTATCCGATATTTACGATATTAAGAAGAGTACGGTGATCCAATTGAACCAATTAATTTTGGACTTTTTATATCTTTGTAGGAAAAAAAAACAACAAAGAAATAAATAAATTCCAAATTTGGAGAATAGTATAGTTATATTTTCTAAATTAAGAAATATTCTGTTATACAAATTGATGCACGTGAGATAAATAACAATGAAAATTCACATTACGTTATCATCCTTAACCATTTTTATTGCAAGATAATGGATAAAATATTAAGCTAAATTACATAATTTAAAACGGTTTTTTGGATAGTTATTCAAAAATAAAGAATAATTATTAGTGGTAATTCTTAAGATTTTAAGAACAATTTTATAAATTCTTTAAAATTCCTCCTATTTATTGTTGCGAAAAGAATTAACTAGTATTAGATCCATGTCTTTATAATTTTATCAGGAATTTTTTTCTTATCATTATTTATTGTCACGTTATTGCAGAATCTACAAGTTTGCAGTTAAGATGAAGATCATTACAAATTGGTCACACGAGTTGTGATGACTATATAATCACTACAGTGCGGAACCAACAAAAAAATTTGCTATTTTTAAATGTAGTACGGTCTAAAAGAAGAAACTCGAAATTTTAACCGTTAATTTTGATAAATTAAAGTTAAAAGCTAATATTAATTTTATCGGAAAAAATTTTAACGCAAAAAAAATTTGTTTCTTTGTTTATTATCTTTAAAATTAAAAATGGTAACAACTTTAACGAAAAAAGGTTATGTTACAATCAATAACCCTGAAAATTTTAAAATTTATTATGAAATACATGGAAAAGAAGGAAAAGAAACTAATAAATTGTTATTTATTATGGGTGGGTATTCTAAAATTTTTTTTATTGAATGATAGAACGATAATGAAATGATACTTTACACGATAATTTTTACATTATCCTTATCCTTTCTTTTTTTTTTTTTTTTTTTTATTTAAAAAGGATTATTTAATACTACATTAAGTTGGAAACCACAAACAGAATATTTTGGTAACCACCCTGATTACCAACTTTGCGTTTTTGATAATCGTGGTGTTGGATGGTCAGGTAAATAAAAAATTATATTAAAAATTATTTTAAATTAATAATTAAAAGTAAATAATGTTAATTGATGAATTTTTAAAGATGCACCCTTTGGATTATACAGGTAAACATATATATTATTATATTATTATTATTAAAATATTATTAAAATATTAATTAGATTAATTTTTAATACAATTTAGAATAATGAAAGTAATAAAAATTAACTTTTACAAATTTTAACTTTAATAATAATATTTAAAGTACAAGTCAAATGGCCCAAGATGTAGTTAAATTATTAGAACATTTAGATTGGACAGAAAATATCCATGTAATTGGTATTTCAATGGGTGGAATGATTGCTCAAGAATTAGCTTTAGCTAAACCTCATTATATAAAATCTTTATGTTTAACTTCAACTTCTCCTGGTAGAAGTTTAACGCCTGTAAGTTTTATATTTATATTTTATATTTTATACTTTATATTTCACATCTTATATTTTTTATTTTTTATTTTTGAAATTATATTAAAGATATTAATATTAATTATATTTATATTTGATATTTGTTTTAGATAACTGGGGCCATGACCATAAGTAGATTGTTATTTATAAGAGATCCTGAAACGAAAGCAAAGGTTGCTCTAAGATTACTTTATCCTCAGGTAAATAATAAATAAATAATTATATTAAAAAAAAATCATCCACTGACATAAGTATTAAAGATGTTAAAAATATTAAAAATTCTTGTAGGAATTTTTAGCAACTCCTGCTCCTGAAGGTTCACCTCATAAAACTTATGAAGATATTTTCACTGAGGTAATTTATTATTATTTATTTTTATTTATTTCTATTTATTTTTTTTTATTCCATTATATTTATTTCTATTTATTATGTTTCATCAGAATTTCCTTGATCGAATTAGCAAAACTCGTAAGCAACCAATAAAAGGTAATAAACTTTTAATTATAATCTTCTATAATAAATGTTCTTTTTTTTAAATATTATATTTCAACAACTTTTTTTAAAATATATATATATATATAGCTGCAATTGGACAATTAGCTGCATGTCTCCGTCATTATGTTTCTCCCAGTAAACTTGAACAAATCAAGAATAATATCTCACATGTAAATATATTTTCCATAAGATATTTATACAGATAATATTCCTATTAGAATTAGATATATTCATCTTTCAATTATAATTAAAATATTATATTTATATATTTATAGATCCTAGTGGCAACAGGTACATGGGATAACCTTGTTAAACCTCAAAATAGTTTTTATTTGGCTAAACATTTGGGTGTTGATGTAAAATGCTGGGAAGGTATGTAAAAAATAAAATTAATATTTAAACATAATTACATATTATCAATATTTAAATAATATAAATAATATTATCAATATCTATTAACATTATTCAAAATATAGGTAGTGGGCATGTATTGAGTAATGAACAACCTAAAAAATATAATGAAATGCTAGAAAAACATTTCAGAAATGCTTGTGAAATGAGAGATAATGATGAAGTTGTTAAATGAGATAAAGTTGATTTACTTGTAAAAAGAGTAAACAACACTTTATAATAATTTCAACATTTATTCTTATTTTTCTTTTGGTACAAGTTATCCAAATTCAAAAAAGAAAATATCAATAATGGATTAGTAAAAATTTTATCATCAATATTTTTTTTCTGAATATGGGTGACATATAAAATACAGGTACAAATATAAAATGAAATTTTTATTTACCATTATTATCATATATAATGTCTTACAAAAAGAATTACAACACTTTAAAGAAAATTTTCAAACTAATATAACTCAAGAAATATAAATCCTACAATAATAAATTTATATTTATTAAATATCCTTGATTCTATATTTTATATCAATATAAAATTATCATAAGTTAATTATAAAATTCTAGAAATATATTTATTTATTTAAAATTTATATGTTGCTTTACATATGTGGTTTTTTAAAAAAATCTAGATGTTTTAATTTTCTAAAAAAAAATAAAATAAATATAGTATAGGACACTTTAAATTAGCAAATAAAAATTTAGATGATCAAATTTCAAGTTCTAAAGTTAGGTGATTTATTATATCAAAAATTTACATTTGTAATAAATATAAAACATAATTTATTAAGTAAATTAAAATTCAAATTAAATTTTATTACATTTTTTAATTTTTTTACCTATTATTATATTGTATTGATATCAAGTAAAATTGAAGCTGGATACACCAATATGATTGATATTTTTTTACTACATATTTTATAACTTTTTCAGTCAAACCTTTGTGATATATATCCATATATTTAAAGGATTTTTGAGCATACCATCTAATTTCACAAAGTGGTACTGATAATAGAACTTGTGATACTGTTTTTTTTAAACCTTCCCATGTATAATCACAGTAATTTCATGAATAACATTTTGTCGATTTCCAAAAATTTTCAATATAATTTAACTCATGATCTGTAGATTTGATTATTTCTTCAAGTTTTTCTCATTGTGCTTTAAAATTAAATTAATTAGTCATGATTATTCAAATACAACAATTAACTTTTCTCTCTTCACATTTATTTTTACATTCCAATTTTATTCCATTACACTATAATTCTCTTTCAGTTAAAATTATTTTTAATCATTTTGCTTTATTATGTAATTCAAAAATTTTATAACCTAAAGAAAAGTATATATCTTGATTTATTTCATTACTATATATGATACTTTTAAATATTTGTTAAAAAAATAATTAATAACAACAATAACTATAATATAAAAATTTAATAAATTTAATAAGTAACCTTATTTTATTTGTTTTCTTCCTGATAATAAATTCATATTTTTTGTTAAAAGAATATCATCTACATATACAACATGACCAGTAGTTCTGTAATATTTTCTATAATGATAGACACATCTGTATATATATATATTACACAATTTTCTCAAAGTATGATCTTCTCTAATACAATTTTACATTCTTTTGCTGAGATAAATGAGCTATGCACTAATGTGAACTTGATTTATACTTATCTAAATATAAATGTTTTCAAAGTGAAATTAATAAATGCTTTGTTACTTTATCTACCTATTATAAATATTAATTTTAATTAATGAAATTATTTTAATGAACAGTTTATATTAATTTTTTTTTTATTATATTATATTAATTATTTATTTAATTATTTTATTTATTTTATTTATCAATTATTATAATATTTACATAAAAACTATTAATAATTATAATTATAATATAGAGATAAATTGAAGAGATTATAGAATTAATAATAAAATAGTAAATAAAAATTAACAATATTACAATAAAAAAATATATTTATTTATTGTTCACATTGTACACTAATTAAATATAAAGAATTGTAATTCCTATATTATAGTGTTATGTGCAATCTGTTGATGTAATTAAAGGTTTTGTTTATTTACTAATACTTTAAGAATTTCTATTCAAATTTAAGTATTTATAATTTGAAGGTTTTCACAATTTATATAAAAACTTTAATAAGTGAGTTCTTTGTTAACAGTTTGGAAGTTTATTGTATCAAGTTAGTTTGTGACTTTGCTCAGTATAGGAATAATATAGTATTAGATAATAACAAAAGGATAAGATAAAATATATAGTTTATTAATAATAAAAAATAAGAAATATTGTAAAACTCAAATTAAATTTACAATTTAATTACTTTTATCTTTAAACAAATAAAAGAAAATAAAATATAAAATAAAAACTATTGGAAGAAAGTTATCTAAACTATTAACTAAATTGTATTTAAACCATTCTTGTACACAAAATTATTTTGGGATTCCAAAATTACAATTTTAGAAAAAAAAAAGTCAAAATAGTTTTTCAAAAGGTAAAATTATTTTACTTAAAATTCAAAATTTTTTAATTATCCAGATAAATTTTTGATAAAAAATACACTTAATTAGGTATTTTTTTACTTCAATATATAGAATAGATTCTGAGTAAATCTCAAAAAGACAAAATATTCCAAAAATAAAAAATCAATTTTGGAAATATATATAATTTGAACTTCTAAACTGTAGGAGAAAAGATCTTCTATAATAATTTAAACTATTATGTCTTGATTACTTTTGCATAATCAAAATATTCTAAACTATTCTTTCATGATAAAGAAATAATTACTGGAGATAAATATCTAAAAATAATTATCTGAGGTAATTATCTAGGATATTTATTTCATGTTACCAAATGTCTTATTAACTAGATATTCATTGAAGATATCTATCTTCTTAATTAGTATCGCAAATAAATAATAAATAATAAACAAATAAAAATATAAATAAAGAAATATTAATAAACTATTAATAAAAATAATATATAAATATATAGCTAAATAAAAATAATATAATTTGATAAAAATTCTTGTGCTACAATAGATCAGCTAAAAATTGAAATTTTTATTATAATAGATTAGTTAAAATCAACTGTTCTATTGTATTCTATATTATAAATTAATTAAAATCAAAATTCCTTTTTGTGTCATCTATTATTTTGCATTTAATTTGTGATAATAGTATTAATCCATATCAAAAACACCTATAATATAATGAAATAAGACATCCAGGTTAATATTGCTCTCCTTTTTTGATAATTTAAAGTATTGTTTTAATGTATTCCCTTTAATATCTCTTTCATTATTACTTTAAGAGAAATCTCATCAGTTTAGAAAATAAAAAAAATTGTTTTCAAATTATAAATAATTATAAGAAGAATTGAAGGTGTAACTGCTTTTGCTATACAGTAGACATTGTCTATATAACCATCTAATTAAAAAACTACAAAAATACCAATATTATAATTGGTGAAAAAACTAGAAAAAGGAAAGAAAACAAGTTATTTAAAGTGAAAAGGAAATAAGAATAATTAACTTATATGTTTAAGACTTCACTTAACTTATTAATTCTCCTTTTAGAAACAAAGAAAGTTTCAAAATCTTTATATTGGAATATTAGGATATATTTTTTAAAAGAACAAAGTATATCTATTCCATGATCTCCTTGACTGCTAAAAATAATTTATTTATTATAAGTTGTTATTATTATAAAGATCAAAACTTGGTAACTACTTGTCAAACCCTTTATCTATATTTCTAATTTATTACAAATTCTATTGACAAATCTGTTTGTAAACTGAGAGAATATTCTACTACCACTATTCAAATATAAAAGAATCATTGTATCAAATGGTAATTCCTATATTATAGATTAGCTAAAAATCAATAAAAATCAACCATCCTATTATATCCTATATTATAAAATCAAAATTCCATTTTTGATATGACAATTCTTTTGTATTTGACCTGTGTACCAGTTCAGTTAATTTATCACTTGGTAAAAAAGACAAGAACCTATTCAAGTGACATAAGTACATCAACATGATTAATTTTCACTATAACATATAAAAGAGTGGTGAAATAGAATGAGATATGTATTTGTTCAGTAATGTGTGATCTGAAAATGTTACTGTTGAAAAACTTATTAACAACTTGAAATCTGAGCACACAATTCATGTTATAAAGTTAATCACATCTTTGTTAAATATCAATACCTAGATGAGATCAATGCAAAAGAGATATAAGTTATTTATTTCCTCTTGAACTTTTGCTTCACTATATCTCTTGTTTAGTAAATCTCTGTATGATATCCTTGTGTATTGAATCTAATAATTCATCACCAAAAACCTTTACTATTAACAGGTAATGTTGTTTGGACTTTAATAAAAGAATGTGTGATAAGGACCTATACAGTATAAGATAATTGCAATTAGCTTCCGCAGTAATCTAGCAAATAAAAAAGTTGAAAGTATACAATATCTACTGTATATGGCTTTTCACAAAAAGGACTTCTTTATTTTTTTTTATTTGCCAATTTCAATGATTTTTTCCTGAATAAATGTTATTTTTTAAAAACATCTATGTGTTTACAAGCCATCTAAATTCTTTTTGAAGTAATGGTTCCAATTTTAGTCTTTTAACATCATTGATTATTGCTGGACAGTTATATGAAAGAGGCAAGTCAGATTCATCCCCTCTGTTCAAATACTAAAAATGAATTGTTTTCAGCATTTGCAAATAATTCAATTGAACTAAATGAATAATAACGTGTTAATAATAGATAACAACAATGAATAACAAACGTAATGAAACTTACATGCATTGCTTCTTCTGTGATAAGTTTTTTTAATATTTTTTTCTCTCAGGATCAGATTCATGTTTTTTATTTTCAAGAAAACCAAATCCTAGATGAAGAAGAAGAAAAAATATCAATTTACTATGAATACGGGAATAAATTTAACCAAATACTTACATTATTTTGTTTGCATAACTCTAATAGCTCACTGGAATATAATTTCTTTTCCTTTCTCACATGAGCATTTAATAAAGTTTGGTACTTGTACTATACAAAACAATTCATATAATTAGCAGAAAAGAAAGATCAGAAAGTTAATGATATAATAATGAATTCACCTCTTCGACTTTTTCATCTTTTGCCAATATACTAAGCTCGGTCAATTGCTTTTTTTCTATCTTTTTGTCAACCTCAGGAAGTAATAATAAAATAAGTTAATAAACATCAAAAAATATTATTACATGTTATTTCTTAACAATTGGTATTGCAACGAGGAAATTCGGAGTGGAACGTGTAGCACCCTGTTTAGTATCAATTCTTTGTTAATAGAACATAACAGATGGCAACATGCCAAGGAAACTCAGGATAGAGCATATGGCATCTTGTTTAGTATTGACCTGACCAAAGCCAAGTTATGTTGTCAAAAATTGTGCTTTTCTGCGCACAAATTTACTAACCTTAAATGATTTTTAATGAAGCTGTCTTTAAGTTTTCTCTTGTTAAAGGGCGTGTCTTCGTTCAATCACTCCTAGACACTTCTTGTACTGGTGGTTGTAAACTCTTACAAGGTTAAATGAAAATGATTTTTTTTTTTTTGTCAAAAATGTAGTGAATTAAAGCCTTGAATAAGATCAAAATAATCTGAAACTTATCCTAAACCCCAGGGTTTAGATCATTTATCCTAGACCCCGGGAGTTCAGAGGGTGCTACAAAAAAGATGTAATAATACCTATTATATAGTATTATCATTATGTATTAAATAATTTCATATGCGAACATATAAAAATCAGGTATTGTGATACTAGTATTTGCGAAAATACAAGAAGGCGAAATTAGAATAATCGTTATTTTAGATAAATTAATTGAATGAGTTTAGTTGATCGTAAATAGTGTAATGCAGATAGAAATGAATAAAGTTATATTTGCAGAGCGTGAAGTATCCCAATTAACCGTATTTGATATATGTTTTTTACAGTGTAATTTGATATAATTCGTATTATTTCTAGCAGGTTCCTCCAGCCTTTACTTGCCGATCAATGAATTCCCTATAAAATATGTGATTTTTTTTTTGCCGTCTCGTCCTTTTGCAAATTAAAAATAAAGCATCACGAAATAATTAATAAAAAAGTTTTTCAAAAAATAGTTATTATAGAATTTAATTATACTTAGCTTAATTGAATTAAAAACAGAGTTCCATTATTCTGTAATAGGTATCTTCGTTTATGATTAAATGTCCGTGCGCTCCACACTTAATTGATGTCTAATCGGATTTTCTTTGCATAAATGTCTTCGATCAACATTTTGGAAATTGCACCTTTTTTGGTCTTCGTGTTAACAATTGCTCGCTGAGAAGAGATATTACAAATTATTAGTTTCTCCTTTTTCCTAACCTTCATTGCTACATTAAACAAGTCAACTATATTCTACACCGTAATTTTACTAGATACTGTTAGAATTGCTTCTAAAGAGAATTCTGGAATCTGAATATCAAACGATTTATCAAATACAACCAAAGTATCAGGTGAGTTAATTGCTACCATTATTATTGGCGCTAATAAATAGCTCACATCTCAAGCCTTGTTCGACTTTTTGATTATATGGAACTTTAATTTAGAAGAAATGGTATTTTGTGCATAGTTTATGGTCATGGGAAGTTTCAATCACAGGATTTATTTTGGATGACATGGTGCTTTGATCTCAAAGTTTCTTTTCATTAATGCTCTATCTCTACAATAACAAAAACAAATACATGTATATATGCAAATATAATGAATAAAAAAATCACTAATAAAAATATTATTGTTATTGAAATTAAAAATAAACAATTTATTATAAAAACGGACCGTACAACGCAGTCGTACCACTAACCACATATAGAAAAATTTTAAAACGGAATAGTCTCTGTAACACTAACACAATAAACTGAAAAGTATTATTTGTAATTTCGTCTATTTCATATCTATTAAATCATGTGGATAATGACCAATAGCAATTTATTTTTTTCAGACGTCACATATGTGATATTGTAAAATATTGAAATGCGATACTTACTAGGGAGTAGAGTGGAGGTTAGGTTGGGTTCATATTATAATGGAGCAAGGATCAATCCAATAATTTGAATTGAATACTCCGGGTTTATGCTCCAGGTTGTAGTTCGGGTTGCTCCAGGTTATTCCGGGTTGCTCCATGGATCAATAACATCAGTAAATTTTACTTTTTTTGACTACGCCCGCGATTTACGAATCGTAGAGCGATTTTCTACTAAGATATTTCTAAGATAGAAAGAAAGGCCTTGTTATTGGCTACAAAATGACATGTCTTTCATCCGAGTAGCTTCGATATTTGTGGAGTTATTTGCGCTTAAAGTCGAACGCCCGTGAAAAATTTCTGCAATAAATTTTCATAATTCTGGCCAGAATTATAAAAAATTGTGGAAAAGTTATGACAATAAATTTTTCACAGACGTTCGATTTTAAACGCGAATATCGATGCTACCGGGATAAAATACATATCATTTTGTACTCAAGAATAAGGTCTTTCTTTCTATTTAAGAAATATTTTAGTAGAAAATCGCTCTACGCTTCGTAAATCGCGAGCGAAGTCGAAAAACCTAAAAAAATATGAAAATCCTCCCGTTGATCATCGTTTGTATCGAAATTCTTTATATGGAGCAAACCGGTTATAATATAATTATAGCTCCGGTTTACTATAAAATTGAAATTTGTAACCCACTCCATTATGGAGTGTCATAACCTGACGTTACTCCGGATACTAAAAGGTTTTTAAATAACTAAAACCAAACAGTGAATAGGATATTAATGAAATCATAAATCACATTTAGAGCATGTGACTTCGTAGTCTTGGCATCACCTCATTATTTGTAAAAAATTATATAAACACCTGCGAAAATTTTTTTCTTTTTTTGTAATCCAATATTATAGCAAAGTACACTAAAAAATAAAAATTTGTCGTGGTAATTCATTAAAAATGGTTTTAATTTCTATATTATCACCTATATTACATTTACAAAAAACAAACTCTAAATCAAATAGAAACAGTAAAGAGATTATTACAATTAAAAATGAAGAGTCAGGATTCCCCAAAGGTAATTTTTTATTTTTTTTTTATTTTTTTTAAAAATTATTTATTTTTTTTTTTTTTTAAAAAAAAAAATCAGGATGGTTTTACATAAAATCACAATCTAACGGGCACGTGATGGAGGCACACACCCTATCAATGAATAGTGGTGCCAGAATTGTCACTACTATTCAACGTTTTGGGTTAGATGCTGATAGTCAGGTAAATTATAATGACGTAATATTCTTAAAATAATTTAATTTAATTTATTTATTTATTTATCTATTTTATTTAAATTTTATTTTATTTAAATTAGCTTTGGGAATATGATAATGGATTCATCATTAACAGAGCTTCAGGAAAAGTCTTTGATATTGAAAAAGGTAATCTTTCTTATATAAGCACATAAATTCTCATTAAAAATTATTATCTATGACTTAATAATAATAATAAAAAAGGTCGTATACGTATATTCCATCGAACACGACTATGCCAAAATGATCGTAAACCTTTAGAATCAGCCATAACTCAACGATGGATATACAAACCAGGTGGTTACATTTCTCCACTTTACAATGATCATTATGTGTTACATATAAGTGGTCATTTTGGGATAGAAAATCTTGATGGTGCAGATATAATTTTACATCGTAAATGTCATTATAAAGATGAGATTAAAGATGAATTTGGAAAATTTGAAAAATTTATTCGATGTGATAAATCTAAGCGAGATGATGATGATGATGATGATAATGATAGTAAAGCATATTCTAAACAAAAATGGATATTTGAACCAGAACGTACCTAATTACAAAATTTACTAATTTAGAGTGTGCATAAAGTTAGAGAAGCAAAATTGTGTAACTTTTTCGGAACTTGTACAAATATGTGTTTTATAAAATTATATTACATATAATTAATGTATACTTTATTTACATAATTCATTTTAATTATAGATAATCAAATCAAATAAAATCTATAAATTTTTCCGTGTAACTTTTTTTTACATATTTGCAAACATACACAATTTTTTATGGCGATGCATCTTTTTTTTTTTTTTTTTTTTTAAAAAAAAAATTAATTCCTCATTAAAAGTTTAAAAAAGTTTATTGGATTTTTTATATTTTAAAATGGCCCCAACTGCTGATATTGGAATAGTGGAAAGTGGTGGAAAGTTGCAAAAGAAGCCAGTTAGTTTCGTTAATCTTGCAGTTGGTGCCGGTAATTTTTTTATATTTTTTTATTATCTAATTCAATTTCTGAGATGAGATCTTTTTTTTTTTTTGAAATGATATTTTGAGAGTAAATTTGTTCTTACAGCGATTTGTTCGACTGAATCTCATAGATAGTTTTGATTGAGAGAAGAAATTAATGGACTGAAAAATGACCAAATTTTCAATATACGATTTCATTCTCGATAACATGTGTAAAGTAAATTCAATAATTTAATATTTTTATAAGTTAAAAATAAATCATTCAAACTGTCAAAAAAATGTGAATAGGATTAAACATGTTCGAAGTTTCAACGCTTGGTCAACCATTCGAAGTGATCAAAACTCATTTAGCAGCAAATCGAAATGATAACATTTTTACCGCTTTAAAGAAGACTTATAAACGTGGTGGACTTTTAGGTTTTTATCAAGGGTTAATACCATGGGCGTGGATTGAAGCAAGTACAAAGGTATGATTAATTGATTCATTCTTTTGAAAATATTAAAATTATTTGATTTTTAAATATTTTTTTTTAATATTTTATATTTATATTTTTATTAGGGAGCAGTACTTATATTTACTGCAAGTGAAGTTGAATATCACGTAAGAGCTGCTGGTGGTTCACCATTCTTGGTAAGTACAATTTTGGTATTACTTCCATAATTTTAAATATATTTTTAATTACATTTGATGTTCACATATCATACATATTTGATGTTAGTCGGGTATTATTGGTGGTATGGCTGGAGGTTTATCACAAGCATATTCCACTATGGGTTTTTGTACTTTTATGAAAACTGTGGAAGTCACACGTCATAAAGCACCAGCTGGACAAGAAATTTCAACCCTGAAAGTTGCTGCTGACATTTGGAAACGTGAAGGAATTCGAGGTATTAACAAAGGAGTTAATGCTGTAGCAGTAAGACAATGTACTAATTGGGCTAGTAGATTCGGTTTAACGAGAGCTGGTGAAACGGCGATTAGAAGGATTAGAGATGGTGAAATACCAGATTATAGTAAACCCTTGTCTCCAATACAAAAAATTTTGGCTAGTGCTATTGGTGGTGGATTATCTTGTTGGAATCAGGTAAATAATTATATATTTTATTTAATTCTTTATTTCTAAATATATTTACTTCTTTAAGTTTAAATCTAATTCTTTTTATTTTTATTTTATTTTATTTTATTTTTATTTTTTTTTTTTGAATTTTGTTTCAAATAAATAATCTTAATAGCCTATTGAAGTTATTCGTGTTGAGATGCAATCTCAAGTAAAAACGCCAGGACGTCCGGAAAAGATGTCAATCATTACCTGTGCAAAATTTATTTATCAGAACAATGGTTTCAAAGGATTTTATCGTGGAGTAACTCCCAGAATTGGACTTGGAATATGGCAAACAGTTTGCATGGTATTTGGTGGTGATGCCATTAAGGTAATGTCATATGTCATATCTTTATATTTTATATATATATATATATATATTATTTTATTGATTTTTGTTAATATTTTAGGCTAAATTGGCTGCACGACAGAAAGCAAAGATTTAATTAATGATTAGAAAATATAGTTACTTGCTTATTTTTATTAATAATTTATTTATTTAATTTCTTTATATAATTCAATTAAAGTTAAAATGAATTCTACTTTTATAAATGATATCAAAAACATTTTTTAAAATTAAAGATATATATAATAATGAAAAAATTGATTATACCCATAAAAAATTTCCTGATGAATAGACAAATTTTATTGGTGATTTGTATGTTTTAAAATATTAATAATTTACTTGTTCAAAACAGGTTACTAATAATTATTGTACTTAACTCTATTGGCTTTTACGATATTTATCTGTTTTATACATAACATCAGTTCGAATAACATATTTTCTTCCACTTACAACTTCCGAACCTTCGTGACACAATCTATGTTCAAAAATTAAAACACTTCCAGTTTTAGGGGTAACCTTTACTTTTTTTTCTCCAGTAAAATCTAAGAATGTAGTTTCTCCACCAACAAAACCTTCATTTAAATATAATTGGAGAGTAACAAATGAAGTCTCACTACCATCAGGTTGTTGATAATTTCCATCTTGATGAGGTTTAAACCATTCACCAGGGTCATATCGTAAAAATCGTAACCTTTCATTTAATCCTACTGATGGAAATTTATCTTTGCTCCAAGTATTTGGAACCAAATTTTTAATACGAGACCATAACATGGAAGCAAGTTGTTTATCATCTTTCATATATCGAGTATTATTTCGTATATTCGACATCAATTTTTGTTGTCCATTTCCAACGTTTATTAATGCTTGTTCATAAACTCCTTCCTTTTCGGAATATTCGATGAGTGCAGCACATTCTTCGGGAGTACAAACATTATCAATTGTAAAGATGCAGGGACTTTTTGAACTTTTTGAAATGACAGGAATTAAATCAATTTGAGTGACTACAAATTCACGATTTAATTGATTTAATTGATTTTTAGCAAGAATTTCTGCCATTTTTTTCATTTTTTTTTAATAATAATAATAATGAATAATAATAATAATAATAATAAATAATTATTATTATAATAATTAATAATAATTATAATAATTGTAATAATAATTAATAAAATGATAATGATTCAATTAAAAAATGAATGTCAAGAAATGAAGCGAGAAGTAACTTTTTTTATATTAATTCCGAAGGAGTTTAAAATCCTATTGAAATGATTTAAATATAAAATTAAACTATTTTAAGAGTATGATGTCAGATACAAAGCGATGATAAGGAGCGTGGTGTTACTAGTTTGTATCCATTTATTCATTGTACAAATCAAAAAAAAAAAACTTTATAAATCATTTGTATTTGTTTTATTGTATTTTGGTATTTTGTAGTTTAATTTTTTTTTTAATCAAAAAAAAAAAAAAAAGTTATCTAATTTTTTTTTTTTACTTTTTTTACACACCGTTATTTTTATAATTTATTTCGTACTGTATTAGTATCAATGGACAGAGTTAAAGAGGTGTGGTTTCCATATTTATAATCTTATCTAAACTTAAATATATATATAATATAATAATATATGTATATATGTATATATATATATATATTTATATTTATATATACGTATATATATATCCCTTCGAGATTACTATATTGGTTTTGTCTATTATATTTCATGGACGATGATATCTTTGTCGAAGGTTTAGGAAATATTAATAAAATAAGGAATATAAACTATTTCTAGAAAATTTCAAGTTAGAGTGTCCATGATTGTTTATCTAATCCGCAGTTAGCTAATAAAATAGTTAAAAATTTAAAAATTATAAAAACTGACATTGAATCAACTGTTATCATAAAAATTTAGAAAATCAATTCGCTTAAAGCTGAACTTGATACAGCAATTCAACGAGCAGAAGATGCAGAGAAAGAAGTTAAAAAACTCCAAGAAGAAAATTCATCCAAAGATGATGAAATCTCTTCTTTGCAAAGAAAATGCGATAAATTAAATGAGGATTTAGAAGCAACAGAAGCCACCCTGAAAGAGACACAAACCAAGTAAGTTAATTTATAATTAAATTTCAATTAAATAATTTTAATCGTAAAAAAAAAAAATATATAAAATTTATTATTGATAAATTCAACAAAAAATAATTATTCTTTAATAAATAAATTAAGACTTAATGAAACTGATATTAAATGCGAAACTTCGGAACGTAAAGTTACTCAAATCACACAAGATCGTGATGATATGGAAAAGAAAAATGAAGAATTGTTAGAGAAGTACAACAAACTTAAGGCTGAATATGACGCAGCAATGACTTCTATTGACGATTTGTAAAGATTTTATTATTATAATATTTTTGACATAATTGTGAGTATTTTTATTTTAAATTTATTATAATATTTATAATATTTAATAATTTTCAAAAACACAATTACTAATTGATTGTATTAAAAAATACTTTTTGAATTTGAAAATAAAATAGATTTTTATATACATTACAGATTTTGGGACAAATAGGAGATAAAAAAAAAATATATATATAAAGACAAAAAAAGAGATATTTTTTTTTTAATTTTGTCCATTTATTTAATGTTTTATTTCTTGACTTTGTAATTCTTTAATAACATGTATTAAACATCTAGTTATTCCATTATTGGGGTTGCATTTCTTCATTTTATATATATATATATATATATATATATATAATTAAATAAATTAAATTTTTTTTAATCGGGATATAATTTTATTAATTTTATTAATTTTTATTCAAAGAAAACAATATTTCTTAAATTAGAAAATTTCCATAAAGTTTTTTTGTTGGGGATTTTTTTTTATTGATGTCAAAAATAGAAATACCATTCCATTCAGTGGTAAGCTACAATTGTTCTCGCACAAATTATTACTCGCATCAACTCATCAAACGCATCAACTTTCTTTGCATGTACATTGCAGCATTGCATAAACATTTGTTTTCTCACTTTATATCACATGAGTTATATGACCAATGAGAATAATCAATTAGTCTTGCTTATTTCCAATTTGATAGTAAATTAAAAATTGTAAAATAAAAAAAAAAATAAATAAAATATACTTGGATGTAAATTCTTTTTATTTTAAAGAACTTACTGTGTAAATTGTTATAAATTGTTATAAATTGTTGTAAATTGTTGTAAATTGTCAATTACAAGTTGTTCTTGGTTATTAAAGTGAATCGATCTCTGTGATCTCCACAAGAAAATATTATGATCATCATCTAATTGATATTCTTGATTTTCTCGACATTCTCGATAATCTCTTTGACAAAGAAACTGAATTTTATGTCGTTTCTAAAAATAGGCAACCAATTAAAATATAGATCAATATAATCTTTACTTGCAGCGGCTGGTTTACTTTTACCCCAAAAAACAAGATGGTAGAGTCTGATAAAAAGTTAGGGGAAATTTTCCGTTTGGCTAATCTTTTGCCGTTTCCAGGTCTTTGGTGCAGTGTGATGCATTAAATAATTTTAGGGCGGATTTCGGAGACGCGATTATCTATCTAATTTCTCTCCCTTTCAATCTCAACAATTTGATATTTCGTCTCTATATACCTTATTTTTTTAATGAAATTCTAATTTTTTAAAGTAAATGAAATGTTGATGAGCAGGAAGAATTTTTGTGGTCCAGAAGAATGGGTGGGTTAGCCATTCAATATATACCTTCATACGCGTTTACCATTTAATCGACCTTCATAAATATTCTTCTTTGTGGACAGGGCCCGATAACAAAAGACGGCCTTGATTTAACTCCTTGTGCCCGAGAAATGTATTCTTTTTTTTTTTTTTTTCTATACTTATAAAAATTGGTTTTCTCATGTAATTTCTTTGCTCATTGATAATAACTTAATTTATTTGTTCAGTATTCTGAACTCTTTTATTCCTTTGTGCCTTATCTTTATTTCCATAATTTATCTAGTTATTTTTACTTGCCGTAAAAGACCAAGGAACAGAATACTCAATAACCCTAATTTACAAGGCGAGCGTGGGTTTATACCTGTGTCAAAGTATGATATCGGTCAACTTGTCATATCTTTTATTCAATTAGGTTTCGTGGGTTTCCTGTTGGGTTGGAGACTAGAAGAATATGACGATCCTTATGACGATAGCAAAAAATATGGTCTTTACTGGGTAATTGGTGCGATAGGTCTATTCTTTTCATGGGTAAAAATATTTTATAATATTGTTCATGGTCATTTTTATCTTGTCAGAAATTTTTTTTAAAAAAAAACTTTAATTGAATTATATAATCTTATTCATTCTTTTTAAATAGTTTTATATTGTTACTTTAATTGCATGTCACTTTATGACACGAAAAAATCAAACTCAATATGCGTTCATTAGGCAACTTCTATTACTCTACGCGCTTTTTGCAATAATTTCATGCGTAAATCTTCGTTCCGTAATTAAATCCCCCCAAAAAAATTCAAGTTATGAACTAGTTTTTGCAATATGGAATGCTACTGCATGTTGCATGTTATTTGTTTTCTCCATCAAAAGACCGAGAAATCCTGATTTGAAATATGCGAGAAATAGAGTTATATCTCATGATACAATTGCATCACTTTGGTCATTAACTACTTTCTCATGGATGACGCCAATGATAAAATTAGGTAACTTGCGTAATCTCACAGAAGATGATTTATGGGAATTACCTTCTAGGTGTCAAGCTGCTCAATGTTATTATGAATTAGATCGGTAAATTTATAATTTATTTTTTTTTTTTTTTTGATTTTCTTTACTTTAAATATTATTATATGAAATATATCTATATATATTTTTTTATTAAATATATATATTTATTATTATTGAATTTTATATCAGAACAGCAAATTTGGATCTTCTCTCCCGATTGTTATATGCCAATGCAACAAATCTTATTCTTTTCCTTGTTATCGCAATATTAAGATCTATTTTTGCTTTCATTACACCTTTTTTCCTCTATCGATTACTTAATTACATTTATTTAAATTATCCTAATGAATACACAGAAGAACCTTATCTCTATATGTTTGGTATTCTAGTTTCCGAACTTTGCCGAATTGTTTTCTTGAATCAATTAAATTATCAAGTTGTTTGGCTTGGGATAAGAGTAGAACAAATGTTAAGTGTATTGGTTTATGAGAAACAATTACGTATTAAAGGGTCATTACCGCCTAGAGCTGGAAATATTAGGACAAATAATGTTTTGACAACCGATGTCGATGATATTGCTGGTTTTTTCTCTAATCTTCCTTTCTTGTTAACAATTCCTCTTGAAATTATTGTGGCAATTTCTTATTTATATGTATTGATGGGATGGAGTAGTTTAATCGGTGTAGTGATAGTATTTTTTTTCATTTGGAGCAATAAAAAATTTGCGAAACGCGTTGCAAGATTACAAAAACGTGTAAAAAAAGCTCGAGATGAAAGAGTTGGTGAAATTTTTGAAGTGAGATATAATCAAAATTTTTTATCATTCCTTTTTTTTTTTTTTTTTTTTTTTTTTTTTAATAATTTAATTTTTTATTTTGTTAATCGTAAATTGAATGAATTTATTTTAGCTTCTTCATGCCGTTCGTATGATAAAGATGTTTGCTTGGGAAAATAGTTTTCATGAGAGATTAATGTGTAATTATACTTTTTGTTCAGTAATCAATTTATCAAATTCATTTTCCTTGATTTTAACATTATTATTATTATTTATTTTTTACGTAGTTTCTCGACGTATAGAACTCATCCATCTTCGACGTCTTTTCTGGAGTACTACCTTTCTTACTCTTTTAGTACATCTTACACCTTTTCTTGTAACATTGTTTTCTTTTGCATGTTATGCATATTTTATTAGTCCGCTTACGGCTGCTATTGTCTTTACGAGTATTACATTATTCAATACATTAAAACAGTCATTACAACTTTTCCCGAATTTAGTTGTTGAACTTGTTGGTTTAGGTGTAGCTGTGAGTCGAGTAGAAAAATTTTTAAGTGAACCTGAACTAAAAAAAGATAATATAGTTTTTAGTTTAGATTCTACAATCGGATTGACGGGAGTTGATGCCTCTTGGAACCATAATACGAATTTTCGCGAACTTAATAATGACTTTTGTTTAAAAAACATTACTTTGAAATTTCCTATAGGAAAAATTAGTTTAATATGTACGGATATTTCAATTTTTTCCTTTTTTTTTTTTTTTTTTGATTTAATTACGACTATTATTGATCATTCTTTTTTTTTCAAATAGGCGGTCATAAATTTTCCGGTAAAACCATGTTTTTCCTAACTCTCCTTCGCGAAACCACAGTCACAAACGGTACTATACATTTTCCTACATCTTCTGTGGCTTATGTTCCTCGACAAGGATGGTTGGAAAGTACAAACATCCGAGAAAATATCTTATTCGGAACAAATTTTGAACATGAACGTTACTGGAATATAGTTGATTCATGTGGTCTGACAATAGACTTTGAGAATATGGACGAAGCCGATTTCACGGAGGTATTAAAATTGAAAATTACCCACTTTTTCTATTATTAATAATGTTGTTATTTATATCTTTAATATTTAATCATTAATAAATATTGATTTTATGTAACAAGTGTGAAGATAAAGATGTGGTTCTAACGGATGGACAAAAAGCTCGTATCTCGTTGGCAAGAGCGTTATATAGTTCAGCTCAAATATTACTTTTAGACGATTGTTTAGCAGATTTGGAACCCGAGATGGGTTTGTATTTAGTTTAATTACCTTTTCTTACTTTAACCGCAAAAAAATTTTATGCGTCATACAAAACTTTTTTTTTTTTATTATTATTTAAGCTCGACAAATTATCAATAATTGTCTAAAGAGTCCGTTAGTTAGTGGGAGGACTGTAATAATGTCAACAAAATATGCTAGATATCTTTTGGATGTTGCTGAATACATTGTGGTACTTGGAGATGGGACGGTTCGTTCAAAAGGACATCCAGAAGAAGTGCATGAATCAGGATTTTTAACTGAAGATATGCTCGGAAAAGATGATGAACCAGTTCTTGATCAAGTTGACAAAAATGATCAACTAATGATTGAAAAATCCGATAAGAGAAATTGGGCAGCAGAAGAAGGTTAATATTCTGGAATATTTGATTTTTTGATCTATTATAAAGCTTTCTTTAAGTCTCATTCTTATTCCCATTTTGTTCACATAACTAGCTCGCTCCCAAGGAAAAGTTCCGTTTAGAGTTTATTTATTCTATTTAAAATCTAGTGGAGGTTTATCTCTTTGGTTTATACTTGTTCTATTATTTATTATTATTAGAGTTTTGACGGTTGGCGAGACATATTGGTTGAAAATATGGTCCGAAAATGGAGATCCCCCAAGTGATCATTCAAATTTGGAAAACTTAATATTTTACATAGGAATATATGCTTCAATTGCATTTACTTCGGCTATTTTTACAATTATTCGAATGGCTTGGCAATTTTTCGTTTCACTAAAAGGCTCTAGAACTCTATTTTCAAAACTTCTTAATTCGATTCTGAGAGCACCTTTAAGTTTTTTTGATACAGCACCTCTAGGAAAAGTTATGAATAGATTTTCTAAGGATTTAGGAATGATTGATCAAGGTGTTGTTACCGTTATATCAAGCTTCCTTGGAAATGCTGTGGGTGCGATGAGCATACTTGTTGTGGTGACGGCTGTTACCTATGAATTTGGAATAGTCTCGATTTTAGTTGGTTAGCTATAATTAATTTATAATTAATTAATTTTTTATAAATTAATATTTTTAATAAGTTTCATATTTTTTTTTCATATTACTCTCATATATTATATATTATATATTATAGTTTTATGGTATGTGAATATTGGTAGTAGATATATTAATGTTTCAAGAGAACTAAAACGTCTTCAATCGATGACTCGAGCACCAGTAGTTTCTTGGTTTGGTGACTCAGTCATGTAAGTTCTTTTTTTTTCATAATTCTTTTGTATTATAAAAAATATTATTATTAATTTGAAATTTTTTCATTTTATTTTACAGCGGTATCGCCATCATTCGAGCATTTAATATCGAACGTCTATTTGTTAGAAAATTTATTGATCGGTTATTATTATTATTATTATTAATTTTCATTTCTACCGGTTTTCTTAAATATTATATTAACAAATTAATTTAAATTATATTGTATATGTTATAGTTTGAATACTTCAAACCGTACGACATATCTGCTTCATATGTCTAATCGGTGGATGTCAATACGTATGGGAATAATTGGGGCATTTGCGGCATATATTGCAGGATACTTAATTCTTAAAAATCATGATCGTATTAATGCTGGATTAGCTGGTTTCTCTCTTAGTTATGCGCTTGGTTTTGTACAGATTGTATTTGTAAGTATTTATAATGATAATAGAATATTAAAATTTTTATCATTATTCTTTCTCGATTGATTTGTTTTCTTACATTTTCAAAAAGATGTTGGTCAAAGATTATACAACCATGGAAACCAGTTTGAGTAGGTGAGTTTGTATTGTGATTTATATATATATATATTATTTTTTTTTTATTAAGAACAATAATTCAATTATTCAAGAGATTATCCTTATGCCTCATATTTATTCATTTTATAGCGTTGAAAAAATCCAAGAGTATATTGAAATGCCACAAGAGCATCCAGCTGTTATTACTAACGCACATCCTCCAGCTGCGGTATGTAAATGTAAATAATTAATCTTCCTATGTTTTTGAACATATTAATTCTATATATATATTTTTAAAATTAGTGGCCAACCAATGGGAACATTGAAGTATCTAATTTAACAGTTCAATACGGAGAAAATGAAGAACCTGTCCTTCAAAATGTTTCGTTTATTGTTCAAGCTGAAGAAAAAATTGGCATAGTCGGAAGGTGAAAATATATCACAATCATTTTTATGACTCAGTTATTAATAGCACAACATTTTTAGTTTTAACGATAATCAATAATAATCGAACTGATTGCAGAACAGGCTCTGGAAAAACGACTTTGGCTAATTCATTTTTGAGATTAACTGAAGCTACTGACGGTAAAATTGTAATTGATGGGATAGATATTGCCAATATAGGTTTAGAAGACCTAAGATCTAGATTAACAATTATATCTCAAGGTTTGTTGTTCAAAACGAGTTTAAATATATATATCTCTCTCTTTCTCTTTTTTTTTTGAATAATTGTCATATAATAACATGTTCACTCTTTCTTAGACCCAATTCTTTTTGAGGGAACCGTTCGATCAAATTTGGATATACGTGGCGAATACAATGATCATGAATTGTGGGAAGCGTTAAGAAGAGTACATCTCATTCATATCGAAAGTCCTCCAAATGGTCAATTATTAATCATTGGACCGATAACATCTCTCGATGATCCCGTCAACGAAGGTGGTAGTAATTTCTCTAGAGGACAAAGGCAGTTGTTATGTTTAGCAAGATCTTTATTAAGACAATCAAGGGTAATTATTTTGCTTTATAATAATTGAAAAATAGTTTTTTTTTATAGTCTAGCAATTAATTTAAATATTATATATACTTTTTGTTTGCATAGATTATTATTATGGACGAAGGTAAATTATTTATTTATTGATTGTTTATTAAATGTTTTATTAAATCGTTTATTTGTTATGGATTAATCTTATCCTTCTGAATGAAAAATTTTTTTTATTTTTATTTTAAGCTACTGCAAGTATTGATATTGAGACGCAAAATAAGATACAGGAAATTATAACAGAAGAATTTCGACATGCTACAGTTTTAAGTATTTCACATCGGTTTCAAAATATTATAGATTCGGATAGAATTCTAGTTCTTAGTAAGTACGATAAATTAATTTTTATTCTACATAAATTAAACAATGAAAAAAACTAACCTATTATTAATATTATTATTATTAAATTTTAATAAAATAAAATAAAAGATGAAGGTTCCATCGTAGAATTTGATACGCCATACAATTTAATCAACGATCCAGATAGTTTGTTCAGGCATTTATGTGAACAAACTGGTGAATTAGATTCATTAACAGAAATGATCAGATTAAATAATTTAGAAGAATATGAAATAAATGAAGAGGAAAATTATGTAGAAGATGAGGAAAATTATGTAGAGGATGAAGAGAACGAAGTATTACAAGATATGGAAATAGGAGATGAAACTGATGAACAAGAAGATAATCGGACAGAACGTGAATCTGATCAAACGGAAACGGAAAATGAAATAGAACGAGAAGCCAATGAATATGATCAAGAAGCTATTGAATATGATCAAGAAGCCAACGAATATGATCATGAAATAGTAGAACAGGATGATGATCAAGATATATCAGAAGATTATTAACCATGAAAAAAAAAGAACAATGTTGTAAACTATATTAGATTATTTAAGAGTGATGAAAAGATATTGTATAATTAAAGGAAATGTAAATTAGTGTATTTTTACCTTATTATATTTAAATTGCATTATGAGAATAAATTAAGGTGATAGATATAATTAATCCATATTATCCATATTATCCACATTATTCATATTATTCATATTTTAAATATAAATATCATTTTTTATCTAATTAATAAATTTCATCAAACGGTCGTGTATCGTTGAAACAACTCTCAAAAACTTCTGATACAACTCTTTCTGCTACACCAGGTGCAGAACATTGAGAATTCTTTTGAACTGATAGTATAGCTCGTCTTTTAACACATGCCTTTAAATGAGGTAGAAAATGAAAAGAAATAAATAGAGAGAAAAAAAAATGCTAGGAATTTAAAAAAAAAAAAAAAAAATTTTAAAATAAAACAATTAATTAACATTCAATTCATTGACAAACCTGGTGTTGTTTCGTGAAATTAAAAAAACCTCTTCGAATTTCACGTGTCCAACGACAATCACCACTTAAAGACGCTGCTCTAATCTATTCGTCAAGATATTTTACTAAAATATCTTTCATTTAAATAAATAAAGTAAAGTAAAGTATAGTATAGTATAGTATAAATAAGAACCTCACTACATGCATGATGATAACAATTATTCCAATCTACTTTAAATCGACAATGATCATAAAAATGCATCATTTCATGTACCATTGTATCTTCGGCATGACTTTTACTAAAAAATCTATTCTGACATAAAAGTATCCCATGATCTGGAGAAAAACCTCCACTCCGTGTATTATCACATGGTAAACATTTAAAATGTTTTTTTTCTATTTTACATCCTGCCTCTTCTAATGATTTTAACATAAATACTACAATTGGACCTATAATAATAAAAGAATGTCATAATGCTTTTTTTTTCTTCAAATTAAAAAAAAATAAAATAAATAAATTTAAATAAACTAACTTCTTTCCATCAATTTATCTTTCCATTTTTCACATCTTTCACATTGATATTCTTCATAATTATTTTTCAATTCAATTTTATATTCTGCTTTTTCTTGTTCTGTTAAACCCATACCAGTAATGTACATTAACTTTTTTCTCCATTTTTCAAAAATTCTTTTATCTTTTTCTTTAATTTGTTCATTTATTATTACTGGACTAATGGACGAAATTGGATTTTTTGTTTGATCGTTGTTAGAAGTTGAGTGCGCAGAAGACATAATTGATGTTAACTGATTATCTTGAAACTTTTTTATAATAAAATTTTTTTTGCTTTTTTTTTTTGTCACACTTAAAATATCAATTTAATTTATTTAATTATTCTATCAAAAAAAAAATGTATACTACTTATTCTTATTATGATATACTTGAAATTTCAGAAAACGCTTCCATAGAAGAAATCAAACAAAAATTCCAAAAATTGTTACTTCATGTAAGGTTATTTCTTTTATAACCTTTTGATAAAAAGGGGATTCTTGAGAACTAAGTAGTAAATTATTGCTTGTGCCTTTGAAAAAGCATCATCCAGATAAATTTCAACAATTTCAACAAAAAAGTTTATTAAAACCTACAACTAATAATAAGTCTGATGAGATTTCAAATGTAACAAATAGTAATAAAATCAAAGTAAATGATGACAAGATAAATAAAATTCTTGAAGCATGGCACGTTTTAAGAGATCCAGAATCAAGAAAGATTTATGATAACAATTTAAGAGGTATGCATTGACATCGCATATTAAATATTTTTTTATCTTAATTTTTTTTTTTTTTTTGATGAATATTATTTATATTATAATATAATATAGCAAAGATGCTCAAACAGGATGGAATATTTAACGCAGAGGTTGATTTAGATGATATGGAATATAATGAAGGTAAAAAAAAAAGTAATTTAAAGATTTTAGTTATTAGATTTTAATGAATTCTATCTTCTATCTTCTATTTTAGATATGAAGTCATATTCAATTTCTTGTCGTTGTAATGGTTTATACATTATAAGTGAAGATGATTTGGATCAAGGTGCAAGTATAATTGGTTGTATGAATTGTTCGTTAAAAATAAAGATATTATATGAAATTATGGAATAAATATTTTATTCATTTTATACTATTTTATACTTGACTGGAATAAAAAGTTTTCATTTATTTTATAATCATCATTTTCGTCATCATTTTCTTTTCTTTTCTTTTGATTGAATTTTTTGTAGAATTTCTTCACGCCAAATGAGATAATCCTTATATAATTTTGTATCTTTATAACTTTTTCCTTCCTAATAATAATAATATATTGAACAATATTATTATTAATATTAAATATTAAAGATTAATAATATATTGAATAATAATAATATTATTATTAGATTTTAATAATATATTAAATAATAATGATATTGAATAATATATTGAATAATATATTGAATATGTTGAATAATAATGATATTGAATAATAATAATAATAATAATAATAATAATAATAATAATAATAATAATAATAATAATAATAATAATAATAATA